TAGGGCCATTGTTTTCCTGACACCCAAAAGTCCTAATCTTGACTTCAACACTTCGTTCTTCTATACCTGCCATTTTCACATCAACATGGAGAGCAAGCATAAATTCACTAAACACCAAAATATGCATAAGAAAGATGATAGGACATAAAGGGCTCAATAGACAAAGGTAAAGCAAGTGATATTTAGCACAATCTTGTAAAGGAAATGTTCAATTACATGACTAAGAGGAAATGAATATAAGATTTATAAAAATCAATCCATTTCTATAACAGGCTATCACTGAGGGATCAAATAGAAAGACACATGCTAATCATATTCATCAATTAGGTGATTCAAAAGTTTTGGGTTTATTCACATCAGCCTGAATAGGTCAGAAAGCAGCACCAAAAAATTCAACCTGCTAAGCAGCATGATAGCACTAATTAAATGACCAAATCTGAACAATACAGAAAACTTTAATCCCAATACTCGATCAATATATCTACAAATAAGCCTCCAGTAAATAACACCTAGCTATGCACTCCATATACAATTGTGCTTATGCTAAACAAACATATAAAAAAAAATGGATGCAAATGTAAGAAAGACAGTTTACCCAGAGACATATATAGAAGAAACAAAAATATCCAGATACTGAAATACGCTAGTCAGCTAACACTTAACATGCATATAGTTTCTACACAAAAAATTAAAAAAAAAAAAGCATTATCTAATTAGCAGCAAGTTCAAAAGATAAATCCCACTTTCACCTTCCAGGGCCAATGATAGCATGTTCTTGACAATATCAATTGAATCATCGCAAATGGCATGCCAATGGCTTGCTCAACAGTCCGGCCAATGAGTTCTGCTGCTTTAGAGTTCCATCCATTTATGTTACCAGAGGAATCAACAGCGAAGATTGGGACAGCAGCTGTCTCAATCAGGCGGACCATTTCATTAGTGACAATACGCAGTTCATCGACCCTCTGAATCCTGTCATCAACAGATGGTACATTGACAATCATTTTGGACTCATCAGCAACCTCATCTTGCAAGGATCCTCTCAATATCAGCTGTAAGGAATGAATTGCATCCATTTCTACATCCTCCCAAGGTAGGCTCTGCCACTTGACTACCTCCAGAAAAGCCTTGAATTATGATCTTGGATGCATCTTTCTTCCATCATCCTCATCATCAGGACCACGCTTTGCACCACCCCACTTGATCTCTTTAGCTGTACATGATCGGAACCCAAAACAGGAAGTCTTTTGCAGTGATCCTAACTGCAGCCATCCCACAAACTGCCTCTCCAAGAACTGAAGCACCAGGATAGCCAGTTTCCATTAGGCTATCAGTACTTAAGCCTGTACTGCCACTATGGTACTCAAGTAGCCACTCAGCTATATCTCTAATTTGTGACTCTGTAGGGGTAACTCCAAGCAACCAAAATTTATGTCCGTAGTAAAGTGCAGCTCCATCACACTTAACAAGATCCATGACATTTGGAGATTGAGTAACAATTCCTACAGGAGAATCTCTCAGAAGCATGTCACAAAGCACAGTCTGAGTTTGCAGAATATGCTTCTCCCTCATTTGGGCAGCCAACTCCACTTCCTTGTTAATTTGCACTCCAAATACTTGAATTAGAAATTCACAAGCATATCTCGGCGGAAATGGAACAAACCTGAGGCTGGCGTGATGGCAAACCACTAAACCCCATAATTTTCTTCCATTCTCCCGTTCACTGTCCATCTCATCAGCATCCTCATTTATAGTCACTGACATCACAAGAGACGCAATTGATCCCATATTTGCCATATACTGTGCATGACACCCATGAGGAGATCTTAATATGGATCCACAAAGACTTAATGGTTGAGCCAATCCCTTGTCTTGAATCACCTTAACTGGTTGGGCAAAACAATCACATATCATTCTAACTTTGTTTTTCATGAAAAGGAATCTTGAGGCTTGTGGTATGTCAGCAGCTGGGTAATGCAAGCCTAGATAAGGTTCCAAGTCAGGTCTACGGCTTTCGGCAACAACTTCTCCATGTTCATCTTCATGAAATTTATAAACCATTACCCTATCATAACCTGTCAAATCACTAACCTCCTTAACTAAAACATCACATAATAGAGATATATTCCCGCTTGGCAATGACTGCAATCTCGAAATGGCTTTGGCTGTCAGCTTATAGGACTTCAATGCCCCAGCAGCTGTCACTGGCACATCAGCTGGGTTAACTGGTTCTAGATCTATAACTAACCCAGCATCGATCCTATGCAAAATAGCATAAAAGGGCTTGTTGGACGTTTTACAATGAACCAATATGGGGATGAGAAGATTAACTTCCCCAAAATTAGCAGCTTTCTGCAAGGCCGTCGAACCTGGAGACCTAAATAGTGTTCTCACATCACTTCCAAGAGTCAGAGCCTCTTGCTACTCTATGCTCGGAACAGCATGAGGTGCCAAGTCCAACATTTCTGGAGCATTTTCGCTGTAGGCAAGAACCCTGAAGTTTTGCTCATCAACAGCAATCAAGCAACCAAAGGGCTGAATTAGACTTCCTCTTTGCATCTTTTGAAGGCAAGCTGAAACAGTAGAAGAGGGAACATTACTGGTTGAACTGTAAATGTTGAAGTCAACAGAGGTGGAGTAATCAAAAAGCCTCTCGGATTCATCAAAGTCCATATGCAGCTTGGCATCTATTGGGGTTTGTGCAACCGCACAAGCATTTTGTTTTGATCTAGCAGAACTGCTCCTAGAACAGTTACTCTTGTCTATCGACTTGGATGACATTTTCTCAATCACCCTTTTTCCTTTTTCCACTTTCTTCTTCTTATTCTTAGTCTTTGATCAACTTCAACCAATGTAAACGTTATATTTCAAAATCACAATAACCAAAAGAAAAGTTTAAATCTTTACATATAATCCATTAATTTATTGTACTGCCAGGACAAAACCTGAGACTTTACCAACATAATCCATAATCAAATTAAAAACCCCATATCAAAAGAAGCTTATTTATTGTTAGCTCGAAGCTACTGGACCCGGGAATCAAGACCAAAGTTAAAAATAACGTTGAAACCATACAAAAGTGAACAGCTTTTTTCCATATAATTCTTCTGATGATTCCATTCTCGACCCAAAAAAAAAAGCCACCAATGGAAATCAAAAGGCTCACCAGAAAATGGATTCCACCACCTTCAAACATATATATACGGACAGATTCCTGGTTATTTGCCCTCCAAAATCCTAAACAAAACAAAAACACCGAAATCAACCCGTTACTTAAAACTCTTTTGTACTGCTGATATCTCCTTGAAATAACTCTTTTTTGACAAAACCCATACCCCAAAAGAAAACCCAATTTTCAAAAACTAACAAAATGATGAAGCTATATGTGAATTAGAGAGGGATTCTGGAGTTGGGTTGGGTAAGGAAAGAAGTGTTACAAGGAAAAGCGGCTCGACTTAAAAATGTAGTGGGAAGTAGATTTGTTTAAGAAAAAAAACACAGCATTATTACATATATAGACTCGTTGAGTCAATGGATCCGAGAGAGAGAAATGTCCGGGGGCTCGGCTCGCTGCCTGATTGAGAATTGAGATTCTCGCTGGGATACGTAGAGATGGGATTCGGGCGAGGCTGGTTCGGTTTTTTTGACATCTCAATTTATGCGTTCATGTCAATTGCAGTATTTATATTTTGCAAAATTGCGATATATTTTTTATAAAAATTATTATCATAATTTATATTAATATGAAAATATAAAATATAATTTTTTTATTTTATTAAATTTATATATAATTTTTTTGTCGTATTATTAAAATTATATTTTAAATTATTAAATCAATATATATGAATTTTGGCAAAGAAAAAAAATCATAATATTATATTGTTTTTTTTTGGGTAAATTTCATTTATGGTTAATTTTATCTAATAAAATTAATAAATATAAAAGGTGACCATGACAAGACTGGGTTAGTTGACGTCTCAAAATCCTTCCTCTTTCTCCCATATATTTCCAGTCAAGTATTATGTCTCCAACAAAATAGGGGAAATGGTTCTTGCTCAAGTGTTACTTTCTATGAATCGATTTATTTTCTTTCATTTTTTTATCCCACATCACCAAATGATCACTATAACCAACAACAATTCTGCAAGTTCCAGGGAAAAAAATGACACTACAAACAATTTTTGCAGACTGGTTTCCACTTTCCAGGTGCTGAAATGAAGGGCATCTAGAGCAGCAAAGTTATTTTGTTGACTGTATATTTAAATACAACAGGGAAAAAGGGACTACTATGTCTAAATTCAGCTGGAGATACAGAACCTCTGAGGTATCAATCATGCTCATGCACAAGAACGATAAGAAAAGAAGGGAAACAATGGTTGCCATGAGGGAAATGGTATTTTAGTTGGCATGCATCTCCTGACATAAAGAGTTAGATGTCAATGAATAAAACAAAAAGTGTCAGGGAGAGGTGATCTGTGTAGGGAAGGACATGATTCACATGAAACCCCATCAAATCCTAGCAGATAATGCTGATATAGTTATAACATTTCGCTGTACCATTTCAGCAAACTGATGTTGTCTATCCCCTTTCGGCATCACTTATCTGCAAAAATATTCAGCATAATACTATAAACTTATTTTTGTTAAATTTTCACTTAATGTTTAAGTATGGGAGTAGTTTCAACTTTCAAGACTTTGACCTAACACAATGTGGCCTCAGCTCCAAATAGGTTCAAATAGAATAGAATATACCTAACTGACTTCAATATCTAGAAGGAAAAATAAATTCAAATAGATAGACCACTTCTTGTTTCATACTCAACTCTGAGGAGAATGGTCCTAGATCACATAAATAGATACCCTTGTTCTCCACATTAGGATATTATTTTGTAAGAATCTGCTATCTTAGATGACTACTTCATTGACAAAAAGATCATCTGTTAGTGAAAGTATGTCACATTTCGATTATGTTACATGAAGAATTTGAGTTATATAGGTCTCTTAACAAGTGTAGGCAGGACAACTTAATGTATCAGGCCAATAATCAAGCAACCATATTAATTCATATCATAGGCCTGCAACAATTTTCAATTCTTTGGGGAAAGTAAATAAGGTCTTTTTTTTCTGTGTGCATGCGTGAAGGCAGACGATATGCACATTCATCCAGACAAAGGTATCAACAAAAACACATTGATGTTCATGTTTATTTCCATTTATTAATATGATGAAGAAAATTTTGGATGTCAACCAACTTACAAAGCAGTCTGAGCTCAACAGGAATCCACTACTGTCAGCATAAAATTATTGCTCTTTGTAGCCAAAAAGCTATCTCCTTGCTCCCAAGATAAGTATTTATGACCTCTAGGAGGATCAAATTGCTTCTAATTTGCAAAGGAAACAAGAAAAATCTGGTTTCTTTGCAGCAAAAGAGAAAGAATAAGAAAAGTTCTCAATGTTACAAATACAAATTCTATAAACTATTGAAGAAAAATAATCCAGATCTCACCACTTACAACAGTGGGAAAACTGAGATGCTGAAGTCTCAACTCATCACAGCTGAAGAAGTGTTATATGAATGGTACATTTGAGCAAAATTCAAGCACATTTGACGATCTCTGTCATCCCCCCAGCCACCCCAACCCTTAAACCCAGCTTTATACCCTGATTGATTGTCATACACGCGCACATCCCATTCTGCTCTGATATTAGCAAGCTTATCAGTGTCATCTACCTGAATGTTCACTATTCCATTATCAATGCAACCATTACTCTGCCCTTGGCCCTGATGCAAGCCACACTTCCCAAAGTGAACTGCACTAGTCTTTGGACCTCGTAATGTGTACACTGGACTCCCGAATGAAGGATAGACTGTTGTCCACATTGTTATATCCCAGTTGTAATCGTCAAAGAAGCAAAACTCTTTAGCCTTCCTATGGATTTTTCTCCAAATGGTCCGGTTGAAGGCATAACCCACATTTCCCATTCTCTCTGCAACCAAACTATCCCATCCTTCTCCTCTTGAATTCACATCAGAAGGTGCCAGATTTGCAGCATAGCAATCTGGGCATTTGTTAGGCTTCAGTGATACAAGAAGCTGTAAGTTGCGATATGCATTGGGGTAAATGAAGTGATCCTCCTCTATGAAAAGAATGTGCCCATCATGCCCTCTGGTCTCCTTCAATCCATCCCACACAGTGTTCATCATCCACCACCAATGATGCTTCAAAGAAACTATCTTTGGAGACCGGTGCTTTCCATACTGATCAGTATTCCCAATACAATGTTTTTTCGCTGCATCATCCTTTTCCTTACAGTCGTTAGACGACACACCAGGAAAACTATCAGTAAACACATGGGGTGAATAAGGGGCAAATATCTGTTTCAGTTGGCAAAATTTGATCCCTTCTACAATCTTATTCATTTCTTCAAAGTATCCATCGTGGCTAACTATCAATAATGTTTCAGCTATCCCCACAACCTTGGACAAGCTCTTAACAACTACTTGGAGATATTGAGGCCGATTATGCACGTATAAAACAATGGTTATATGATCCTTAGCTAACTTTGGATATAGATCTATATTCCTAGGGGGCAACCGGTTAAGTTTTTCCAATTGTATTGAAAATTCATTCTGTTTAGGAAGGTTGAGTTTTTCACTAGAGCTCTCACTGTCAACACTTGCACTTAAATCTTCATCTAATCCATTAGAAGCTGGGGTTCCATTGGTCCTAAAAGAACCTATCAAAAGTAAAACCCCAAATAAAGTAACTAAAACTACAGAGAGGAAACGCTTGAAAGCTGCATCCCTCAAACGGGGTTTCTTGTAATTAGCCATAGCAAAACAACAAACAACATCAAGCAACTTCCAAGTCAAAGTTGCTCAGTCCAAAGAAGTATCAGAAAAAGAAAAAAAATAAAAAATTTACTTCATAGACAATCAAACAGCAAAAAGTAACAGCAACCCATTTTAGAAGAAGCTGAATAAGCAAAAGGGTAAGTGCCAAAACCTCAAAAAACCAATTCTTTCCCACTGAGCTCCCCCCTTGCCTGGAATCAATGGTCTTAGCGGTTAAAAGGGAAACCGCAAAAACCCATGAAAATGGAGATCAAAGTTTGGATTTGAGGGAAGTGAAGAGATCAGGAAATGGAAGAAAAGATGAAACTAAATAAAATAGGAGATGGAAAGCAACCTAAATCAGAAAGATCAACGGTGTACATTACTTAGTTGACGGGTTTAAAGAAAGGAAAATGTTTCTACATGTAGAAATTGACTTTGGTTAAGACCGAAAGTTCAAAGGAGGAACGCATTAAAATGGAGGCTTTAATTATAATTATATTAATTGAGCTTAAGTCAATTAATAATCATTTGTAACGAAAATGTTTAAGCTAATTTTTATGGAAAGGATTTTGTAACTTAAAAAAATCTTTTCTTCTTTTAAAATTTCGTGAAAAACTTCTATTAAATAAAAAATTATTTTTTAAAATGTTAAAAAATCGGTTTGGTGTTTATTTCTTTTACATTCAGGTCTGTGTTAGAAGAAGGTTAACATAATTGTAAGAGTTGATAAAATTAATTATGCCTATTGTAACCAAGAAGGCAGGTTATGGTTTTTGTGCATTTTAACTGAAATATTACCTGGTTGATGCTTAGCAATCAAGTTTTTCCAAAAGCATATGATCACCAACCCAAATTGGTTTAGCTTAAAGTTTAGTCAATAGGCACATGTATTTCATGTTTTTACTCTGGTTGGGAGGTACGAATTGTTGAGCCTGCAATGTCTTTTGAGCTGTTTATGGCATGGCTTTGTTCAATTACTTTACCAAAAGGGAATGCAATTTCAACAAAGGCTGGCTTTGAATCTTAAAAACTGGTTCTCCTGACATTTGTTTTGTTAGAAATGGTTATGAGTGTAAATTAATATCCTATTAATAAATTTTGTTATATTTATGATATATTTATTTAATTAATAATTTTTAAAATAATATTTATAATCATATTTAATAAGAATATAAATGAATAAAAATCAAATCTATTTACAAATTATTCCTTAATCGTTTTACTCATTTACATTCTTATATATTTAAAGCAAAAGAAAACAAATATGGATGACTTGACTTGACTCCTCTTGCAGTCTAGCTTGCTTAGCTACATCATCTTCAATTCAATGTTAGATGTCCTTCACAAATTGGGCTTTAGCTATCTTGTGACTTGACTAACAGATCCCCGTATTTTGATGCTTTCTGAAACAACTGTTATAAACTTACAATTTGATGCTACAAGCCAACAAATACACCATATTAAAACCTTTTGTTTCCTTGCCCAACAATATCCAATGATTTTTAGATTTTAGTTTTGTTTTCTGTGATATGTAAATTGCAAAGACAGGTGATGCACAAGCACTGCCTAAGTCTGGTAATGGACAATGGGAAAGCCACAAAGCTACAAGAGAGAGAAATGGTCCACTTTGGCATGACAGCCACAGGCTGGCTAAGATAAGGTTAGTATCCCAACCTAGCTTTCCAAATATCAACTGCCACCACACTCGTATCCAAAACCATTGATATATATGAGATAGAGAAGGAATGGGCAAAGAGAGCACAAAATTGTTCTGAAAAATGGCAGCCAAAGTGCCTCTCTCTTCTCCTCTCAGCACCCAGATTCCTGTCTTGCCCAGGTTTTCATCATCAGCGTCGGCTTTCTCTTGGGCTCTCTGTTCACTAAAACCAAGGGTCCTTAATTTCAAAGTTCATGCAAACTTGGGTAAGTTACACTTTCTTAGAATTTCTTTTGTTTGTTTTTTGGTTGGATATTCTATCAAAACAATACAGGGATGATAATTGGGGAGAAGTGGTTTGATTTGCTAGGGGAAGGGGAAGGAGAAGGAGAAGGAGAACTCAAGCCGAAAGGAAAGAGGAAATTTATAACAAGAGAAGAAGAACCACAACAGTGAGCATTCTTCTCTTTGTCACTTATATTACATCGTCATTCCAAAGTTTGGCTTCATCATTGTTTACCTTGAGCTATAGCTAGCAATTAAAGTTCCAAATGATTGAGTACCAGAAGGGGTTGAAAATGAGTGCAGGTATTGGCAATTTGCAGGAGAAAGGGAAGGAGAGAATCCCATGATGACCCCTCTTCCTTACATTATCCTATTTGGCATGTCAACACCCTTTGTAATCTTAGCCATTGGTTTTGCTAATGGCTGGATTAAGGTACCTGTTCGATGAACTTTGGCCTTTGCAAATGCAGTGAGAATGACAGACAGGATCTTAAGTGTTGATTCATCCGATAAGCATCTTTAATTCAGGGTTCTCGGCTTTCTAGTGTAAGCATATGTTGTCAACACACTTTTTTTGAGTATTTATACTGTTAGTTTCTGAAGAAAACATAGGATGGAATACCAATGGGACATCTCTACCTACATTGCGAAACCAAAGCATTTCCTCCAAATTTAAGTAAATTCTGGGTACTGTTTTGAATCAGTTTTAAGAAAATAATTTTGTTCTATCATTGGTTGCATTTCTATTTCGAAGGACCCCAGGTTGAAATTCAACTCCATGTCTCCAGGTGAAAATGGAACAGGTCCACTCATATTTTTGAGGTTTGGCCACTTGGGTCTATCTGGTTTAAGTTGACATTTCCAGGTGACACTGATTGAGTTTGATGACTTTCTAAAAGTAAGGAAATCTAGATTATGTCAAATTCTGCCACTTTGACCTTGCTAAAAATCTCAATTAAGTTTATAATCGACTTCAGGTTTGAGTCATTTCGGGTTTGCATTGTTCAATTTTCAAATCAAATTATCAATTTAAGTTCGATTATTAACTTCATGAGTAAATTCAAGTGAATCTAATTAGGTTTCAAGCAAATTGGAGCAGCTTTTACCACATTTAGCAACTCCAAATATGATGCCATAATTGCAGGCTGTTTTACCTGCTAGAATAGAAACTCAGTAATGAAAGGTTCCCACAAGAAGTAAACTACCATGTGCAAAAGGAATAGTAACTGAAAGAGCATGTTCATATGGCAAATAATCCTTCATTTTTCTATGATAAATCTTTTCTTACTCCACCATAACCTTTGACATTTTCCTTTTAATAATTATGTCAACAATATCAAATGTATTAAGATATACAGGTTTAATTTACCTATGCAAAGACTTGTATAATACTACAGTCACATATTTTTGAAGAAATCGATGTGTTGTGCAAAACGCCACAGACTGACCATCATCACCGTCTTGCTTGTAAAGATGGTTCAGCAACGTATGAGAAGGCCTTGCCGGTGACTTGCTACTCCTAGTAATGAATGATCGCTCATTTAATAACGTTGTCTGAAGCTGGGAAGGCATTTCAGGTGGAGGCTTGCTGAAATCACCATCATTTAGTGGTTGATTGTCGTAACTTGATATAGGGGAAGGAGGCGATTCGAACTCTGAGAGGCTTTCAGGAGTTTCTGGAACAAATTCCTGCTACAACACATCAAGAAGGAAGCTGTGTGAAAGAACAGCAGCATCCAGCGAGGGACAAGCACAATACTCAACTATTTGTAATGGTTTAACACTCAAAAAGAAGCTTTAAAATACCCTCAAATCCAAAATGTTATAAGTACTCCCAGACTCGTCAAATTCCCATGGTAAGTTCGGATCATATCTCATCAGCTCATCGACAATGAAATGGTAATGGTAAACACCTGATGGGAGTATCTTCATAATAATGAAATAATCTTTATCCAAAGAATGCAAGGGTTCTCTGGACGGAAAAATAAAAGTTACAGCATTTTAGATTGTGAAATGAAACTGCTGAAACTAAAGAACGAATGATAAAACAACATTACAGATTCCAGTACATGGTCTTCCAATTGTCCCACGATCCAGTAATAGCTACTTGCTTGCCACCAAAACACCATGTTATCATTGCAGCTCTCTTCTCCGCCAGGTGGAGACCCTCATGGTATGTTGTATTTGTTACCAGTGGATCGTTTTGGACTTGCATCATTTGACCAGGTCTCGCCAAGGGAGCCTCAGGGATCTGGAGAAAGAAATGCAACTCAATTCGGATTTCCCTTTCAATTTATCTCCATGTGTGTGTGTCCTTGCAAGGAAATGAGCTTAGGTTATTCTCAGAATCCCTTTTCTAACTAAGGTTCATGTGCCAAGGACATTCATACACGGTTCAGATGGTTCAGAAGCATCATTTACATATTTTGAATATGCCTATGATTTCAACTCAAGTTGGTTCAAAATAGGGCAGCAATCTTCATAATACCTGTAAATCCAAAGCTCTGCCTGAATCAAAGTATTCCCATGGCAGTTTATTCTCACTATGGAAATCCTTGTAGGATGTAGTGTTTTGCACAAACACATCATTTTGGGCTTGTATCATTTCATCAGATCTTAGCCAGGGAAACATAGGGATCTGGAGATGAAATGTAAGTCCATTCAGAGGATATTGTCTTTTTTATTTTTTTCAGTCAATAAATGTTGTCTCCTGTATGCTTGTCTTTATACATTCAAATGAATGTATCTTTTAAAAAGCAAAGATTCAACTTCAGCAAAAACTATGATATAGAACATGCAAAGACATATGAAAGAGGAAGATATGATTAACAAAATGAAACACTGAGTGAGGGAATGATCAGCAAAGATCAATATTTTCTGACTCTCCCCGTCTTACTCCCACAGGCCATCCACATGATATCTGGAACACCGTTTCCGTTGATAAAATTAATAAATTCATTGATAATTTTTCTTATATATTTTATAAGTGAACACTTTCGGGAAAAAAAAATCTAGATCCTGACAAAAAAAAAAAAAGGGAAAAACAAACCTGTGGAGGGAACTGGAAAGGAAGCTGATAAGCCTGATTAGGACTAGGGGGAGGGGAATGAAGCATGGGGTCTGAATCAGACTGCTCATTTTCCACTTCATATCCATTCTTCTTTGTCCCTGAGGATCCTTCTCCAACTTCTCTACCACCAGCATTTCCCATTACTTTCAAACAAAAAGAAACAGCCCAATCAGTTGAATTATCTCAATTTTAACTAATTAACTACCAAAATCCATCACTTCCCATGAAACCAAATTGCAAGACAGAACAAGAAAACAGAACAGACCCAGAAACCAGAAAGCAAAACTGATCGAGTAAAGTTGATTTTAGGAGAGGGAGGGTAGTTAGTTACTCACCCATGAGTGCAACTGGATTGCACAATCACAAGAAAGCAAGCAGAGGAATATATCAAAGGAAGGCACCAGTATTTCTGCAACTTTATTTTTCTAGTAGTTTTGTTTTGTTTTTTTTATTTTATTGATTGATTGATTGATGTTTTAATGGGAAAGTGCAATTTGTTTGCTCCATTTCTATGTGCTGGTGTGAGTTGAAAAAGGAAAAACAACAGAACAATGAAAAGTGAATTAGATTCTCCAATGAGTTTGGAAGATCCTATGTTAACTAATGGAACAACTAATGATGTTGGCTCAAAAGTGACTGTCGTTTTTGCCACCAAAATCCAACTGTTACACGCTGTGCCCTTCTCTACGGTTGATTGCTTGAAGGAATCATCTCCTGCCACGTGTCATATTACCCATGATCATGATCTCAACTTTTCTCCCTTTGAATCTTTTCCCCTCATTTTTCATTAGCAAACTTCCAAAATGGAGAAGCATGTTTTCAACTTAATGGGTTGGTACAATTGACATTGATGGGTATTTTTTAATTTTAGTTATATTGATAATTATCAAAGCTATTTTCAAATACATGATGTTAGCAGATAATAATTGTTTCTTGATTTTTCTAATACGTTGTATGATTTATTGATAAAATAGAATATTATTAATTTTAATGATTAAATTTAATTTTGATAATTTCAAATATATATCAATTAAAATGTTAATTATCGACTGTTTTTTCTAATAATTAATATTTTCTTCTTATGTAGTCAATTATGTAGAATAAAAATAATTTAATTCCTTTAATTTCATTAATTTAGGGTCCTTGGTCTGAAAAATAAACTATATAAAAAAAAAGACAAGGCAACTTTGAATTTTCTTATGCTTCTCCCAAGGCATATATTGCTCTTGTGGGGTTGCATAAAAACTAAAATAAAGCCCTAATAATTTTATGAGATTAAAAATTAAAAAAAAAAAAAGAAAAGAAAAGAAAATTAAACCCAAACTCCCTAAAATCTGTCCAACCATTGGAAGGAAGAAACATTGAAAAATGGCAAGTAGGTCATAGGGTTGCTTTAACAAAAAATGATGCTACCCCAATAATGCAGCATTGCCTTTTTTTTATTAGAAAAAATTTATAGGTAGATAGGTTTTTTAATTCTCATATTAGAAAAAAATGTATCATACTCGATAGCTTAAGATAAATAACTGCAGATCATATATTTAAAATAATCTTAACAAAAGATCACCAACAAAATTTAAACTCAAAATTTTTTTATTGAGGAAGACGAATTTTAACCAATTTAACTAATCAATTATTGATATAACATTGCATCATGAAATAGGAAACTCAAACTGCCACGTGAGAAAGATTTTACATCACCATGAAATAGGACTAAATTGTCCATCTTTCCATGTGATCATGACTTGCCTTTAAATTTACTAAAGTGAAGGGAATATGCCTTCAAATTTATTATCAATCTTGTGATTTGTCCATAAGGCATTGAGCTTAGTTAGCTTTAATGATTAAGGTTCAGTCTCTGCTTGATAGCTAGTGGAGCATTTACCATTTCATCAAACATAAGAATAGAGAGAATGGTTGGCTTTTTGGAGCATAAGAGAGCAAAGCATGAAGCAAGTGGGCATCTCTCTTTACTATTCCTCCAATCAATGATAACAAGCTCAAAGTAATAAAAAGATGCTTAGTTACCCAATGGCCCTAGGCTTGTAGGTTGTAAGTTGTAAGTTGTAAGTTGTAAGTTTCTCCTCCCAAGTCATGAGACCTTTTGAGAATCTAATGAAATTGATGATTTTCTCTTCAAGAATCAATTGCAAAAAGAAAAGGGTAAAAGGGAAAGTGAATGAAATGTGTAGATAAAAAAAAAGAAAAAGAAAAAAAGGCAAAGAGAAAAGATTTTTGTTTTTGAAAACACAATGAATTCTCTTTTATGAGTAAATTTTAACAACATGCACAAGTTGTTGCAAGTATATATATGGCTTGAATTTAATCTTTTAATTTGTATAAAAAAATAACTATAAATTGTTTAAAATCCATCTCATTGTAAGGGTAATTTTAGCATTAAGATTTAAATTAATTTTTGCATTCAAAAACTACTTTTAACTCGACTCAAAATATAATTTATAAACTCAAATAAAAAAGCTAAAGAGGTATTTTTACAATACTCGATCATAATTTTTTGGATAAAATTACTTTATTATCTTTATATCTCTAAATTTATATTATTTTATGTATATCTTTTTGGACATTTTAATTTACAAACATCATGTTTTTCACAATAGTGTGAAAAAACTTAAAATTCTTAATTTTATAGTACATTTTATTTTCAATTTAAAATTTTCTAATGGCAACAAAAACATTAAATTAGGTCTAAATGAGTCAGCTGTTCATTCACATGCTAGCTACAAGCTAGGCTAAACCTCATACATAGAGAGTTTTCATGACAATTCATGTATGAAGGTGAAGATGTGACAAATCAGAGAAATGAGAATCTACCACCACTAGGGTCGGTTTCATGAGATAGCAACATGTTAACGAGTAAATATTCAAGTTGGACAATAAAGTTGGCAAGAGAAATCATTATTCTTCTTTCATTTTGCTTTTGATTTGGAACATATATATATATATATATATATAAAATCATTCTTTCATTTCATGTGAATTTGCACAAACCTTTGTTGAAGAAATCAAACATTAAGATTTGTGGAATCATATACGGTTTTCCATGTTGGAGGACTGTGTCTCAAAAGGTTAATTCTTTGTTTTTTTTTTTTTTTTTTGGGGAATAGATAAAGAAAATTTATAATTAGAATTAACAAAAAAAAAGAAAAGAAATACAAGTCATATATAGCCAACTAAACCAAGGAGAAATTAATTTGGATCTAATATTTTCTACTCTATTATTGTATTTCAATTTTTAAATTTTAACATTCAAACATTTTATTCAATAATAAATATATATTTTCATTTACTCATTAAAGAGTTGAATCTAAATATTCTTTTCTTTCAACTAGGAGATTATAATTGAATTAACATGTTTAATTATTGTTATTATATATATAGTTAATATTTGATATATTGTCAATATAAAATTTTAATCACCCAAACAAGATTAAAAGAGTAATACATGTCCAATTCTTTTTTAATTAATTTTTTATTTTTATATATATATATATATAACTCATATCTGCTAATTTTTTTATAAAAAATTTCGTAACATAAAAATAAAAATTTTAAATTTTAAATTTTAAACTTTTTAAATTTGGTTTATTAAAATTCAAAACTTTATACTTAAAGATAAGAGCCCGTTCCTTCTGATCATCCTTTGCAAACCCATACCTCATGGACTTCCTTGTATTTATTTTATGAAAAGAAAAAAAAAAGAACTTAAATGCCCATATAATTAGAGTTAATTGGGCAAATTAGACACATGTTTATAGTCACGATCTGATGTGTTTTAGGCCATGAGCACGAGCCTAGCCCACATAAGAAGATCAATCCATGTGATCTAACACTAACTGGGTCTAGTTTGGGTTATGTTCTTCACCAACATGTTATTACAATATAGTTTTTTTTATTCGAAGAAATTTAGCAGTAGGAGAGGTTATCCTTTTTTAATATTAAAATAAGTTGTTAATTTTTTTTTTTCATGGAAATTTTTTGAATTTATAAATTATCTATCAACAAAGGACCATGAACTTTCAAACCTAGATATTGTACGTTCAAATCTTAAATTTTAACTGTGCTAAACCTATTAATTATTATAATATAATATTTAAGATAATGCAACACGCACAAAAATATTATACTTAAATGATATATTTATATTTTTTTATTTTAAGAATTTCAGTGAAAAGTATTAAAGTTTTAATGAATGATAATAAAATTTTAAAAATTTATATTTAAATATAATAAAATTTTTATACATGCTATATATACATCAACATGATTAATTATTTTTTTAATTTTTTATAAGACTGGTTAGGGATATTTCTAAATTTTGTTTGGGCCTAATTAAGAGAAAATTAAATTAAAGACAATGAATATAGTTGTTTAAGTGGATTTTCTTAATTACATGTACATGAAGTATTCTTTATTAACATGTAAAGTTTTGATGTCATTGCAGCAAAGCTTGATATTAGATAGTACTGTTCTTTCTGAGTTCAGTGTGCCATAAAGCTTCTGTTCATGAACTCCAATGGGGAGTCTTGACTACTCTGGAAGTTTCAAAGGAAGAATGGTCTTTTTCTGATCGATTTTTGATAAAGCATTATGGAGAAAAGTTGTATGTCTAAAATGGGACTGGTTGTTCTGAAGTGGGGAAAAAAGGATGAGGCGATGAGCATATATATAATGGTGGGTCAAAGAGTGATGTTTCTTTTCACTGTTTTGTGAAGCTTCAGGTACGGTTTTCTGGTTTTGATAATAGGGTTCATTGGGGTTGGTTGGGGAGAGAAATGGGTTGGGCAGAGAAATAATATAATAATCCTCTCTCTGTTCTTTGTTTTATTTTATTTTTTTTCCTTAACCTCCTGAAATTGGAGGGAAAGTGCCATGTGGTGAGCTCAAATGTGTGCACATGGCTTCTCTCATTTCCAAGCTTTGAGACTGTAAATCAATACAGGGAAAACAAGGTTTTGTGGTTTTCAAGAGAATAAGTTCCAGTGGGAAGGCCACCTGATTTGTGTGTTTTTGATCTATGAAAAACCAAGCCCTTTCTTTTTGCCGAGTATGTTTCTTTTTTATCTATGAAAGCCTTTCCTTCTTTTGATGTATGTCTTTTTTGTTCATACGCAAGAAATCAGTCGAAAATTGGAAGCTTGAAACTGCCAACCAAGCCCTTCTTGCTTCTGCTTATGCCCTTCATCCTCAAAAACCCACTGTCATGGATTGTTGTTCTTGCCCAACTGATCACGTTTGCTACCTTTTTGATCTTCGGGTCCTTATCGATCCTCTTCACGTCTACTGTCTTGATATTGTCAACCGTTCTGTTCATAAAACCCAAGTTGGTGGCGAAGAAACCCAAGTTCATATCAGATTCATGACTACCAAGTGAGATCACCGGATGTGCTATCTGAAACTGAATGCCTCGATCAGTTATCAACCACCGAGGATTCTGATGGATGATGATGGATCGATATCTGATGAGGATAGCCCTCATTGAAATCTCCCTCCCTGGAGGACATTATGTTAGCACAATGAAGACGAGTATAACTAGCATGCAGCAGAAACTGGCAGATTTCATGCCTGAATCTGTTTTCCAGCAATGGAGTCCAATGGAGCTCTTGGCAAAGTTCAATGACATGAATGAGGAAGAGAACCTGATTGAGATTGACATATCCATGGGTTCCAAGTATTCCAGGCTTGAGATCATGATCTTTTTACTTTTTTTAAAATCACGCACGTTAAACATCAAAGATTCATAAGCTGCCACGTGTGCCGACAGAAAGGATAATGTGTAGATGATGTGATGAGTTGCCACTGTCAGCTGAAGCCAGCCAACATCGCCAAGCTGCATCAGCCGCCTAAAGATTCTCTCGCGCTTGGAAAACGCACTCTCTTATTTTCACCACGTGTCTTAATTTCAAACCGTTTGATCTCCGGGGCCCACTTGAAATCTAACGACCCAAATTCCACCTCCTGTCCACTCTTATCGATAAACAAACGGTCCACATCTAACCACGTGTCTTCCCCGATGCATTATTACCCCATCGATCCAACGGACCCTAACAACCCCTCTCTCTCTCTCTGTCTCCCTGCATCCGAACCTCCCTTCCTCTTTCCCCGGAACTCCGTCTTACTTCCGACCAGCAACCAGCATCATCGTGAAATCCCTACTTTACCCTCACCAAACCCCCAAATTCTCCGCTAATTTGTTGAAAAATTGTCTGGGATTTGTTGCTTTTTCTTTTATTTTTTGATGGCGGATTCGGACAATGAATCGGGGGGACATAACAACAGTGGAGGAAACGCTTACAGGGAAACGTCGGCACGTGAACAAGACAGGTTTTTACCGATTGCAAACGTAAGCAGGATCATGAAAAAGGCGTTACCGGCAAACGCTAAGATCTCCAAAGACGCCAAAGAAACGGTCCAAGAATGCGTTTCTGAGTTCATTAGTTTCATCACCGGCGAAGCCTCCGACAAGTGTCAGCGCGAAAAGCGAAAGACAATTAATGGCGACGATTTGCTTTGGGCCATGACGACGCTTGGTTTCGAAGAGTATGTGGAACCCTTGAAGATTTACTTGCAGAAGTATAGGGAGATGGAAGGTGAGAAGAGCTCTATGGGAAGGGGAGAAAAAGATGGAGCCAGTGGTGGTTCCGCCGGCGGGTCAAGTAGCGGCGGTGGCGCTGCTGGAGGAGGGAGTGCTGGTACGGGCGGACTAGGGCCGGGTGGTGGTACTGGATTTAACGGAGGAGGATCGATGTATGGAGGGATGATGATGATGGGGCATCATCAAGGAAACCTGTACGGTTCCGGTGGGTTTCATCAACAAATGAGTGTGGGGAAAGGTGGTGCCCCCACCACCGCTAGTGGTGGAGCTGCTTTAAGGTCAAGATAGATCGTGTTGTCTGGTGGGGGAGATGGGTTAAGAAATTGTTACTGTAGTATTTATTGATTGAGTTTTTAAATTTTAGTATCAGCCAGGATTATCATTACTACTTCTAATTCAATGGAAATTACTAAATTTATGCAGAAAGTTTGATCCTTTTTTCTCCCATTTTCTTTGCTATTCAATGGAAATTACTAAAGAACTTGACTTTCCAGCTTTCTTTCAGTTCTGGTTCGATTCTAGCATTGAATTGGGAGATGGAAAATGTCAGGAATAGTTTGAACTGAGAGGCTCTCTGACAGATCTAAAAGAAAAGGGTAACTTTGTTCGGACATGTTCTTTTTTAGGAAAGGGAGAGAAATGTTGTGTTTTATGTTCCCTCCCAACATGTTTTTGCCATTTGTTCTGTGCTTATTGCTGAACTCTGGGTAATAAAGAAAGGAGTGGTCATTCTCATCAATGGAGATATTTTCTGTCGCAGATTTCTCCATCTGCTTTGCTTTCACAATTCCATTTTTAGGGTCAATTCTTGAACTCTTTGATTGCTTGCGTACGGGTGAAATACTTGTAATTTTATGTGTGATTGTTGCATCAATGATTCAACGTATAGATGATGTTGTACAGGAGCGGCTTTTTCTTGGTCAGGTTTTCCACTTGTTAAAACCAGATTGAATTGGAAGCATAAACATTCTCACGCTTTTCAGAGTCAACTTTCTGATAATAATAGTAATGTGGATTATAAGTAGTAAACTTCAGTTTCGTTTCTTTAACTGTCTTGGAATCTTTCCAGCATTTAACCGTTTTAAAGAAAAGTTTTCCTCCATCAAATTAAGTGAAGATTTGGAATCTGCAACATTTATAGTACGGTACATTAAATTTATTACAACATTAATTGAATTTACATATGAATTATAATAAAATTCATTTAAAATAAATTTTTAAATTTTTTAATCATAACTACGTTATTTTTTTAGTCATAATTATAATAATATTTTTTATTATTTTTAATTTCATCATTTATTCAAATGATCTTAAAAATATTTATTAGTGGTATTTTTTTTTTAACAAGAGTTTACTCTTTGAAAGTATAAGAAAGGGTTGCACATATTAAAATTAATTATATAAATTAATTGAGTTAATAATTTTAATAATTAAAATTTAATATATAAAAATCTCAAATAAAAATTTATCTTATTAATTAATTCATCCAACAGGCTCTTTAAAAAACATTGCCCAACCAAGACAAAAAAAAAGGGGGAGGGGGGAGGAATCACCGTATCATTCATTTATTTGCGAGCTTCTCTGGAAATAGTCGGTGAGGATCTTTTAGAAGTAAATTTGGTAATTTAAAGTACCATGTATAATAATACGATATAAATATAAAAATAATATGATTTAAAATTTTAATAAAAATTATAAATAAATTAAATAAAATTTAAAATATATATTTTATATTTTTTATATTAATATAAATTATAATATATAATTTTTATATAAAATACGATATAAATATATAAATTTATAAAATTTTATATTATATAAATATATCAATTATCAAATCTATTTGGAAGCAACGTAGTAGAATTCAATGTCGAACTTTTAGACATGGGCAACACTAACAGTAACTTCACAGGAAAGTCCATTGTAGTTGCTACTTGCCAGTTGCCCACTTTAACAAGTCCAGGCTCTTCCAAGTGATCTTTCCTTATAGTCTTCCATTCCTAATCACGTTGATTTGTTTTTTATCTTGTCTTGTCATGTTTGTTTGGCTACAAGGATATGGTGAAGCTTCTCTGCTACAAATCAAGAAAACCAAACACTGTCGTCTGGTTTTGTGATGCTTTTTCTCTTTTGCATGTTTTGCTTTTAAGCTTTAAGCAAGTACAAAGATCGGCAAAGTTGGAGAGCTGATCAATGATATATCATGTGTACTTAATTAAAGTGAATTTAATTGATCCATATCAACAACAGAAAAGAAAAAAGAGCGTCTGGGTCTGGCCCCACATCGCTAACCCGAACTTCTATTTTAAATTAAATCTGAAAATTCATGTAAAATATTAATAATTTTTATATTTATATTATATTTTATATAAAAATTATTTATTATAATTTATTTTATTTTATTATAATTTTATTTATCAAATATAAATTTAATTTATAAAAATTGACACTGAGATTTTCCCATGATAGGTAGAACATCAATTTCACCCTAAAATCAAAGCATTAATAACGAGATAAGCGTCTCAATTAAGGAGAAGAACCGACCTTATCTAATTAAATGCTGAAAAAATTTAGTACAAAACAAAGGCATCAATATCATCGTCAGCTGAAAAAAAATCCCTGTTGTTTAAAAAAAAAAAATGTCGGTGGAGCTCTGCTGACGTGGCAGCACAGTCTAGCACGTTGCTGCCGACACGTGTGGTTCCCACAGCCTAACTACTCTTTTTTTTTTTTTTTTTTTTAATTTCTAACACTTCACAAGATGTATTTAAAACTAATGAGAAGTGGGAAAAAAAAGGTTTTAGAACTTATTAAATTTTTAAAATTAAGATAAATTGTAAATAAAATTTACGAATTATTTAAAATATTTTGAATTTATAAATTATTTATCGTATTTAAATATTTTTTATAAAAAAATGTGCATTACTGCATTGCAATGAAAATGTATAGTAAGGAGAAATGTGAGATTATTGTAAATTTTAAACCTCTTTTTTTTTTTTTTGTTATTTCGGTGATTGTTAATAAAATATATTTTTTTGTCAAATTTGAGATACATGCTAATAAAGTTAGACTTGTTCTAACGTAATTTTGTAATTTGAATAATATTTTCATTTATTTAAAAAAAATATATTGTAAATTTTTTATTTTCCTTAAGGTTTATTACTTATCTTTTCGAAAAGAATCAAATTCCCTTTTCTGGCATTTTTAAGCAATATGCCAATAAAAAAAAACAAATCCAATTAAATAATCATTTGGATTTCATTATATTTTTAGTACAATTGGATTAAATTTATTATATCTTTAATTGAATTTAAAAGTTAATTTTAATAATATCAAATAAAAATAAATTTTTATTAAATTTTTTTAATTATAATTATAATAAATTTTATTATTATTTTTAGTCCATTATAATTAATTTTATCATTTATTCAAATGGAACATATATCAACAAAAATTAAATTATGTATGATTTGAACATGATTAGCAATAATGGAGCCAACCTCATTTCTAGAAGGCCCATGTAAACTCCAATGTTCCATCGTCGGTGTATGGCGTATCCAAGAAAAAGGGGGAAAAGCCATTCAATCCAATAGCGGTTCGGGCTCCGACTGGACTTCCAAATTTGCTTTCAAATTGATTTGAATTAAAACGATTTTTTTAATTAGGATCAAATTTAAATATTAATTTAAATTAAATTTTAAATCAAAATTTAAAAAATTTAAAAAATCAAATCAAATTAAATTATATATTTTTATTAATGTTTATATATATTTTAAATTTTTATAAAATAAAAATAATTATTTTATATATAAATCTATTTAAATATATTAAAAATTTTATTAAAATTAAAAAATTGAATCGATATATTTTTATCCCATTTTTACTTGAATTATTATAATTTGTATATTTATATTATATTATATATAATTTATTTATCATAATTTATCTTAATTTGAAAATATAAAATATATTATTTTAATTTTATTAAATTTATTTATAATATTTATTAAAATTTTAAATTATGTTTTTTTATATATTTTTTTATATGATTTTTATATCGTGTCACACGGCTTAAATATAATCATCGGAGGCCACTTGATTTAACTAGTGTTTACAAAAAGTACCAAAGTGAATATTAATCATTGAAGTTACGTGGATAAGGGACCCACCTAATCGGGTTCCATCACAGCCATTGCTTAGTTGGCAGTGATCAGCCAACGTGTTGCGTGTACTCCCAAAGCTCCCCAGCTCACTTTACTTGAACACAAATATGCAATACCCCCGTGATGTTCTCCCAATTAGTTCCAACCCACCATTATTCTCCTCCACTTCCAAGCCACCACCACCCTCTTCCGCAACCTTGCCCCCTTCCTCCTCCTTTTCTCCACCACCACAAATGCACACAACATCAAACGCATCCTTGCCAAGCATCCTCAATTCTCCACCTCCAACCACTACCTCACCACCACTCACCTGGCTGCAGAGATCAACCGACGCGAAACCATAACTGTTCTAGCCCTTGACAATGCTACCATGTCATCTCTCCTGGCCCAACAACTCTCCTTCTACACTCTCAAGAATGTCCTCTCCCCCCATGTTCTTGTAGACTACTTTGGTTCCAAGAAGCTTCACGAGATTACCAATGGAACAGCTTTGACTGCTACCATGTTCCAGGCTACTGGTGCTGCTCCAGGTTCCTCAGGGTACGTCAACATCACTGATCTTAAAGGCGGAAAAGTTGGGTTCGGTGCAAAAAATAACGATGGAAAACTTGATGCTGTTTATGTGAAATCTGTAGCAGAGATTCCTTATAATCTGTGTCTTATGATAAAGATTATATTAATTATTATTGTAATGAAATTAAAATTAATAATAAAATATATATTTGAATATAAAAATAACATTAATGATGAAATGAATTTTAATGAAAAAAAAGTATTAAAGGTATTAAATTAAAAATTATATATAATAAAAGTTTTTAATTATTTAATATTATAAAATTTATTAATAAATAATTAAATTTATTCAAAATATTTATTACTGTATTAAATAATTAAGCAACAAAATTTTATTTATTTATTATTTAATAAATTTTAAATTAATTAAAAAAAAAAAAAGAAAACGCCATCGTCTCTCTCCAGCCCATTTGGCCCACCCACCTTCTTTCTCTCTCTCCTCTGTCCGAAAACCAAAATTAATACTAATCATCAGACAAAAAAAAGGAGAGGAGACAGGAGGGGGCACAAATACCACAGCAACTCTCTCTCTCTGCATTGCAGTCTATCCCTAACAAAATCATGGCGGTAACTTCCCTCTTTCCCCATTCTCCTTTTCACCTTTTCCTTTAAACACCGGATGATCCTTTCCTTTCTTCTTCTATTTTAATTTATTCATTTTTCTAATGAATTTGTTGGCATTGCTATTAAATTATCTGTTTCAATTCCCTTTTTTAGATGCCGTGATCGTAGATTTGGATAAGAAATGATTATGTTGTTTCCTTTGTCAGCTTTAAATTTTACGGATTACGCTTCAAATTTATCTTTTTTTTTTAATTTTAAAATTGTACCATTTTCTTTTATTTATTAATGTCTATTTTGTCTTTTTGTTTTCATTTTGCTGTTAATATAAAAGGTTCGATTCATCTCAGACGTTCGTTGCAATTTGATGGATTCTGTTTTCAATTTTTCTTGGCAAAAGGGTTAAAAAAAAAAAACCCCCTAAACAAAAATTTAATAATTTTATTTTTTTTCAATTAATTAAACTTTCAAACATTTATTTTCTTCAATTGAGTTTTTATTGAAAAGAAAATAGTTAATTATTTTTGTTCAATGAAGAATTTAATAGAGTAAAAATAAAAATTTAAGGGTTTAATTGATTGAAAATAAAATATGTATGACTAAATTAATTGTAATAAAATATTAAGGGTTTAATTGATTATTGAATTTTTATTTGAGGGTATTTTTTTTTTAATCCTTATGCCATTTTTCTTCTTTGATCTTTCTCGCGACTCTGCAACAAACTTGCCTGGTTTCATAAAAAAAATTATGCAACTTGTTAAAATGTGCAAAATTCAAACGTTATTAGAATGAACATTCATCATATCAGCGGTGCCTTTTCTGTTATTTGGTGTGGCAGATGTGTAGCTATTGTCTAATTAATATGTTTTGTTAAGATTCAATGACTTTTTTATTAAGTAAAGATTTTTGAGACATGGGTAAATTTCTTATTGAGAAATTGTTGTTTTTAGCTATCAAAGTTAATGAGCTGTTTCGGGATACAGGATAAGGGTCGACCATTGCCAAAGTTTGGTGAATGGGATGTCAATGACCCTGCATCAGCTGAGGGATTTACAGTTATCTTCAACAAGGCTAGAAATGAGAAAAAGACAGGTGGCAAGGTTGAGTCCCCAAATGACTCCGCAGACCAGCGAGGGGCTGTTCTTGGAAAGCCTCAATCTGTAAGTAGTAATCCTGCTTATGACTTATTTTTATTGTCATTACAAAGAAATTCTTCTAGGTTTTTTTTAGCACTTTGGTCACCCTTAGAATACAATTAAATTTTATTGTCTTGAAGCGTCACTTTCCTCACTCATAAATGTCTTTTTAAAGGATGCTTATGACTGTTATCGTTTACTTTTCTTCGAATAATTAAGCATTTCCTTATCCTGAAATTTTTTTAATGCTGACCTTCATGTTTTGTTATTTTGCAATATGTGGAATTCTCTTCTGACATTCAACAAAAAAAAAGGGGGGGGGTACTTTTAAAGTTATGTTGTTTTTTAGTACTATGTTCATGCTCTGTCCCATTAGACACTTCCTTTTCTGATTTATCAAAGGGAGAAGAGTCCTACTAGGAGTGGATTGGCAATGGTCTTATCATCTAGCACATCGCATGGAGTGACTGCGCGTAAACTTGGATCTGCTTAATTGTTCTTGTCAGTTCCGGGCTGCGCCAAAAATAGTAAAAGAACAGAAATAGAAGGATGGAAAGCAAACATCTCCTCCAATGGTGCATTCATTGGTTTGTTTCCCCATCTTTGGTTTTCTTCTCCATTGATGTCATTTCCTGTTTCGCACAAATGCCATCATGTGACATTCCTGTCGTCTGCTGTGTTTTTATATCATCTGCATTTTCATTTAGTGAAAAGGAAAGAAACTCAACACCTTGACGACTAGCATACGATTGATTGTTCTCTGACCATTTCTTTGAGCCTGGTTAGAAGTGTCTAACTTGTTAGTGCAATGTATTATTTTGGCAACTTCTCTATTCCTGGGACCCCTTGAGCAAGGGCAGATATGTATGTTCACTGTTTGATTTTTCTCTCTTTCAATGGGGCTGCTATTGTTTCATGATATTTGTGAATTCACAATATTGATATTTTACTCTTTTTGATGGTCTGAAATGCAGCAGAAAAAATGGTTTTGCTGTATACAAGCTGCAGATGCAGATTAATGAGGTGGCTCTTACAGCGTTAAGAGCTTCCAAAAGAAAGCATTATTTATCTACTTCGACCCTTATGAATGATCCAGAGGACTGGAGCTGTATCAGAAGCTATGACAAGTCCTGCTGGAATCTGTTTGTTTGGTACTTGAGCTTTGCTGATGATGATCCAGGCTTGGGGTGAGAGAACAATGTTGTTTTATGTTTATGTGCACTGGTGGGTTGTTACTGCCCTTTTTGCACCCTTCTTTACTCAATATATTATGGTTTGACACTAATGTTAATGACATTTTTATTCTATATTGTTTTTGAATGGATGTGATTTTTCTTGTGTAACCTTCAACTGTGTCTCCAGTTGTGTTCGATCTTGATCGTAACACCAGTTAAAAACTTATCAAAAAAAGGATTGTCGGTATTGAAATTTAAATTTTAGATTTATTGGATATCATTTTTTTAGAGTAATTGCATGATCCAGATTCTATGAACCATTTCTACAGATCAACAAAAATAAGGTGGAGGGGGCAATGTCGTAGCCGTAGTGAAATCAGGTGCCTAACAACTGCTAGTTATATTACAGGTACAACAAACTTAGAACTTGCTGTGGCAAAATCAACAAACACCCCATGGCAGCTTTAGCTTCAGAGGTTTTAGACTCTGGATGTTCCAAGTTTTTGTTAAAACCAGCGTTTCAGAAGATAATAAAGTTGAAGGATACTAGCCCAGTAAGTGCAGCTGATTCAAACATTGCCTCGTGAATTGCTCGTCGGCCCATGCTATAGTTAAATATATTTTGCTTGGCTTTTCCTTGGGACAAAGCATAACCATTACCTCTTTTTCAAGATAAAACATTGAAGCTAAGATTTTGAAGGATTCAATGGCGCAAGAAGCACAAAAAATTTGAAATAGACAGAAAATCAGTTCTTCAAACCTGCATATTGCCTGTCGGTCAGTCTGATCCTCTGTCCAATGCTGTTCGAATTGGATGTTGTAGTAAAGGGCTTCCTCCAACTTTGATATCTGCCCCAACAATGGAGCAAAATGCTCTGGCAGACATCACTCTTTTAGAATGGTTAAAAGGGAACAAAAGGAAGCAACGGAGCATTTTTAACTCACCAACTTTTGCATGCTGATTGTAGTATGCAAAATGCCCAACTTGTATATCAAATTCAATGGTTTTAGGATAGGAAGATTTGTTAAAGAAGCAGAAACGGCAAATCACTTTCTTGTGGACAACCAACTCATATTTTTCAATTGTCGCCAAAATCATGAATCTTATCACGGGAAGGTCCCTTAATCTGATAATCTCAACATAGTTGACAAATTAATAATTTGGAATGAAGTAAAGAGCAAGGAAAAAAAACCAAAACAACCGTAAGATTAGCATGTTTAAAACCTCTATGTTCATTAAAAAAGCTAATGACTGCCTTATCACCCCTTTCCATCCATCTCTACAAAACAAGAATCCACGATTTAGATCCCCTGCAGGGTTTTTTTGAAAAAAGACGACCAGATGAACAGATGAGATTAAGAAAATTTAGTAACATTAATACCTGGGAATTTTTTCTGTCAAAAATCTAACATGGGTTTAAATTATTTTGAACAAAAAAAAAAAAAAACGTAATTAAATCGAAGAGTTTAGTTTTTTTTTTTTTTTTTTTTTTTTTTTTTAGTTTCCTGTTTTAGAAACCCGGGAGAACAGAACAGATCACTTCTCACCAACGTTAAGCGGTTAATGTGGGTGTTTGGGAGGAAACTCAAAATTGTTGAGTTTGTCCAGGAGTAATTTAGTTTCACTTCTCATTGGCTGAGGTTTTTGCCTTGACTCTCCCAGATGTTGGTTTAGGCTGGTGTTTGTCTCGTATAACACATTAAAAATTTTTAAATTTCAAATACCATATTAAATATTTAATGTTTCAAAATCATTCGTGACGTTAATCCTTTCAAGTTTCAAAACCTCTTAGGAGTCTTTAATGGCATTACATATGTTATAGGAAAAACTTTTCCTGTTTGCAGGCATGACAGGTTTTTGGCTTCATCCCTAGTCATTGTTGCCATTTCCTAGGTCTCGTCTTACGGTCATCACTGTCAGAATTGCCTGTTACAGTCAGCTCAACTACATCCGAGCAAAAGGAGAATGAATTTCAGCTCTTTCCTTCTGCTGAACATATACTGACCACAGAAAGGAGAAAACTCATGGTTCCAACAAGAAGATTGAATCAGATAATGGATACAAGCATCCAGCTGAGAAATGTAATCAGAGTCACATGAGAAAGAGTTTATTCTTCTTGCAGATGCAAAAGAACACCATCAACACTTAAAGCTTCTTTGAGGAAGAGTTTATGAATTCTAGGCAGATTTTCTTTGACAACCAGGTCAACACTTAAATCTTGTTTTGTTGAAAAATACAGAAACTTAAAAGAGTAGCAGACTACAGATTTCATAAAGAAAAGAACACATCATTGTGAAATACCTTTTACTCGTACAACTTTTGGAGTTCGTCTTTGAACTTGGCCTTCAGCTGTTCCCTCTTTATTTTGAGAGCTGCAGTGACTAATCCGGACTCAGGCGTCCATGGATCTGGTAGCAATTTAATCTTTGCAGGTGTTTCAAATTTGTCCAGTTTCGCATCCTTTGCCACCTGCAATTGCAAAACTCTCTCGAGTTAGCAATGACCAGTCCAATTTCCTTCTTTTTCCCATTTCTCATGAGTCCAATGATAGCAATGTCAGCATGATATACACAAGCATATTTGTAATAACTATTATCCGTTTTATATGCTATAGAAAGGAAAACTAAAGAAATCCTTGTTCTCAAGGGATGCCTGCTAACTCAAATAGGCTTATAAGTAGGAGAAGAAAGCATCAAGGTTCCCTTTTTTTTTCCCATATAACAAGCATTTCTTCAGTCAGCAGTTATATCAAGCAAAAAATTAATATCAACAACTTGTAGCATAGATGATGCAAGCATGGCTGATGGCATGTGTCCAACAATGTTACAAAGTCATGAGAGATCATCAACCATAGAATTGGATGTTTAAGTTTCAGTCATTCCAAGAAAGTTAAAAAAAAAAAAAAAAAAAAAACAACCAACCTTGGAAAGAGACCGTTGGACCTCGCTTATAGTTTCAGCTTTGCTGCACAGCTCTGGAAAATCTTTGTACTTTATGCCAGCTTCTTGGGCCCACTTCTCAAGAACCTGATGCGAAGGAACAATCAAAGCTACACAATAGTTGTGAAATGGATCAGCGTATACCATTATATTGTCAACAAAGTTACTCGACATCAGTGCTGCCTCAACCTGCAATCAGCGTTTAAACAAAATTAGCATCATCCCCAGTATTTGCCAAGTACTGGGCAAGGCCTTTTTATAAACACCTTTCCAAGAGATATATACTCTCCATGTTGAAGTTTGACAATATCCTTCTTCCTATCAATAATCTCAATGCATCCATCTGGATGAATTCGTCCAATGTCTCCAGTGTAAAACCAGCGTATCCCCCTCTCATCAACCTGCAGGTGAACAAAAGTTCATATTATTTGGTACTCACAGGCTATGAGACATAGTTGCATATACATTCAAAACCACTTAACATATAAGAAATATAATGCATGGACTCTTTACCTTGTACACCTCATTAGTTTTCCCGGGATTATTGAAATAGCCAGTAGTTACACTAAATCCCCCAACAACAACCTCTCCTCGAGGCATCGGTTTGTCAGATGTTGTATACCCACCTTCTTCCCAAGAGACAAGCTGCAAATTAACCCAATTCTTCAAAGTTTTAAATTATGCACACCTTGAACAATTACAGCATGAGTTACTAATAAAAATTAAAATATCGGTTCTCCTTCAGTTAATTTGAAAATCAGAGAAATACTTCCTATCATTATTGTTCATTAGAAATACTCCAAGGACCCAATGTATAAGCCACAAGCTGAAATGTCGGCAGCAATAAAAACTTTTATAACCTTTCTTTAGAAAGCAAACATGGCTGTAATTCAAAACTAACTTGATTCTTTTATGTGGCATACCTTAAGGTAACAACAAGGAAGAGGTGGCCCAACTCGACCCACACTTGTGTCATCCCACTCAGAAAAAGCGGCTCCAGCACATGTTTCTGTCAAGCCATATCCTTGACCTATGGGAGCCCTAATGAAGAAATTGAAAACGGAAATTGAATTTATCTAAGAAAGTAACCACGAATTGTTTAAGCAATTTACAAGAGCAAGGTCATTATTTGCAGTAAAAGATTAACGTAGGATAGAACTGAAGTTTAACTTCCTGGAATGCTTCAATCTTCGTCAGCCTATTGATTCACACCAATATTTCATGTACTTTACCTTCAATACCAACTCATAGCCAGAGTAAAGCTTGAAAATATCTTTCATAGCAATTTTTTGCGTATTACAACATGTTTCCATTAACTTTTGCAATCCAAAAATGCTAGATGCATAACATCTGAAGCCAAAATTGTGCCATTTATACCATTAATCATATATCTTTTCTCTACGTAAACAAATGTGAAAGAAAGCAATGTTTCTTCTTTTCATCGCTAATTCACTGGCTTCATTACTTTGTGGTCCTAAAGGCAAAACAAATATACAGAGAAGAAAAGGAAGAGAAGTTATTTGTCTGGTTCAAAAAGTTAAATTGCATATAATGATCAGCAGAAAAGCAAAAGGAAATAATATTATAAAATCACATTTCCATGAAAATCAGAACTTTAAAACAGCATAATTCACTATTGTCTACTCTATTTTCACCAACTCTATTTCCATGAAAATCAGAATTTTAAATCAGAACTTGACATACTCTGATCTGTAAATAAACTTCTCCAACCATCTGATCATTCAATTCAAATAATTTCTCCAAATCTCTGAATAGAAACACCTTATATGGCCAGTTAACAGCTAGCAACAGGTGTAATATGATATGTGGTGAATCCAAGAGCAGTAAAATAGTTAACATAATGACATCTGTATAGCAACAAAATGAGCACTTCCGGTTTGTCACACCGATCGCTCTAAGGATCAACAGTTACATAAATGATTTCTGACAGAAAAGGTGAACTGCTACCCATTAATATTGTATAAACCAACTATTTGGCATCAGTACTGATACAAATGAGAAACAAAATTTTTATAGAACTGTATCAGTGTCTCAGGATGAGGGAATCATTACCCCATGCAAACGTTGATGAAGCGTTGGGAATTCCCAGATAAAGGAGCCCCACCACAGAGCATAAATCGGATGTGACCTCCAAGTACAACACGTATCCTTTCAAAAACAATAACATCCCACAACCATCTCTCCAGTCCCCAAGCACCAAACCAGCTTCCTTCTATAGCTGCCAGTCGGCGTTTGTAAGCAATATCAAAAAATTTCTTTGCTAATCCTCCCTTCTCCTCAACCTACATTAAATAGAACTAATTAGTAAACATGGAAGCTTGTTTTTACCCCGTATACTACAACTAAACATAGTGCAAATTCCTGCTCGCAATATACAAGAGTCAAACCAGTTCACACCTTTTTCAGAACTCCTTCTCGAACACGATCTAATATAGTTGGAACAGCTGTCATGAGAGTGGGTTTCAATACAGAAGCATCTCCCTTGGTCCCTTTCATGATTTTATTAGAAGTATCTGTTAGTGTCAAAGGTGAACCATAGCCAATTGCACAGCCTGCGCATAGCATCACCGACTGGAGAGCACAAAATTGTAAGAATAATCTCAATGACATTGATAGGCAACAAAATAAATGAATATGAACTTACCTCAGCTGCCAGTTCAAAAACATGAGCTAAGGGCAAATATGCCAAGTATACATCATTCCTTCCCAGTCTTGGGATCACAGTCATAACTGCTGCAGCAGTGGCTACAATGTTGCCATGAGTTATCATGACTCCCTAACTCATTAAAGAGTGCATCATGTTAGACTATAGCAACAAATAGAACCGTGGAAATGAGGAAACAGCAATCAGGGCACAAGTAGTTGCTCACTTGCATTGGAAGATTTCTCAGGAAAGTATAATTGCTAGGTCATTATTTCAATTATTAACATACAGACACATAAATTACATTTTGAAAATTTGAATTTGATGTAGAACTTGCATTCAATTAATTCCCCTTCTTTTTTTAAGTCGGCCATGCAAAGGTATACAGCAACCTACATTCTCTTTCAGCATATGCAACCAGTAAATGCTGATAAGTCTACCAGCTCCTGCCATTCCACTAAGGTCAATTGACAAATTTTGCTAGCATTGTTCTAAGTGGACCTTAAGGTTTCACATATGAAGAAAATACTGATGAAACATAAGGAACTAAATTTAGTAACAAACCTTAGGCAGACCTGTGCTACCACTCGTATACATTATAACTGCTACACCATCCTTGGAGGGTAGACTAGGTGGAACGGGTGCTCTTTCTCCAAGTTTCTCAACTTCAAGAAAAGAAGAAACTTTCCAGTCACTCATACTTCCAGATAAGTCGGAAACATTTGCAGTCTCATCTTCTTCAAAGTAAATGATATTTGTGATTGTTTTCAGGCTTGAGCTTATTGCAGCCAACTTTTTTAACTGCTTGGAATCACAGATCAAGGTTGATACCTGGGTCTGTCATAATTTTAAAGCTTTGAATGAGAACAAGCACACGGAAATTAGAAATGAGAAGCAAGGAACACAGCAATATTATTTAACAATAGAATCATAGCGATACATTCAATAAACCATATATGTTCTGGCTAATTCAGCCTCAGAATATAAACATAGGCAATAAATTTCTCACCTCATTGAGAGAGTGAATCAGGGCATCCTCACCTAGAGAAGCATAAATAGTGACAACTGTTATATTTTGCCTAAGGCATCCCTGAAAGTCAAAAAGAAAAAAGCCTATACATCAAAAACTTTGATTGGAAAAAGAATGAAAATTAAAAAAAAAATGTTAAAAAACAGTGTTAAATTAAAGAATAATAGCATTACCTGAAAGGTAATTTGCCACTCGGCTCGAGTTTCAGAAAAAATTGCGGCACGAGTATCAACATTATGACCAAAATTAACAAGCCCAGATGCAAAGTTGCAAACACGACGATAAACCTGTCCATATGTTTGCCATTCATAATCCCCTAGGTGTAGCTTCTCGAATTTCCTGCCATCACTAGCAGTAACAAAGTCCTTCTTAATTAGTTTTCTAGTTCCAATAAATCGATCTCGCGAATACTTTTTACAGCATTGTTCAAAAAGAGCAGCCATTGTGGTGGCCCCTTCCCAAGGAACCTGAACCAACTCAGTTATTCGAGCATTACGCACGGCATAACCTGCTTCACTACCCACTTCAACTGGAACTCCTCTTTTTTTCCCCTTTTTCTTTGCCATGAAAAGAAAGGAAAGCAATACAGGTATTATCATGGCAACAATAGCAGCAACCACAACCCCATATGCACCATAGCTTTTCTCAAATGATGATAAATAATCATTGATATCTAATCCTTCTGGAATTGGTGCATTAAAGGTTTTTGTTCCTTCAGAATTCTCCATTGTGAATGTTTATATTGAAAACCTATAACATTCCTTTACAGAGCAAACCTGATAATAAGCTAAAATACGCAGAAAAAGTTAGCAACTTGATCAACCATTCAACTAGCAGTGAATTAAGTTTTAGAAACAGAACTTCTTCCAAAAATAAAACATCTTGATACTCAACTATTCGTGACCACAGATGATACAATCATAATTAAATCAAAGGTCTAATGTTCTACATACTTCAATATCTGATTACAATTTGAAAATAGTAAACCGAAAAATTAGTTTATATATCTGTAGCTAGAATAACTATTAATCAGTGAAGAAGACATAAAGCTAATCTACACTTGACAGGAAATTTTAGACCCATCTTTCTTTTACTTCTTTGGCCATGGTTAAAAGAACGCAAATATGCATGTATATGACCAAAACAATGCGCGTGAAGCCATGAAGACACAAACATATATGGTAAACTAAAGAGAGAGAGAGATATTGCAGACCACAACAAGGCGTAATATAAAGAAGACTTGAACTTTATTTTGAATATTTGCACTGAGAAATGGTTAATTTTCCCACGTCCACTATAATTTCAGCCTGGAATGTATTGGCTATCAATCAATCATGCATGATGAGACAATAAGAACAAAAACTGTTTGACAAAACCCAGATGCAGAAGAACACATCATGATCATATGATCTTTCTAGTAATTGGCTCTCATATAAATCAGATGTTTTTGATACATAAAAGAACAAGCTTTGATCAACAACTGCAATTTCATTAATCCAAAATAAATAAACAAAAAAAGACTAGTACTGAAAAGAGTCCTGATAAAGACAAAAACCAAGAAAGAAGCAAATCGACCAGTCTCTATTGAAACTGAAGTCTCTGGTTGAGAATCGAGATAAAGCCCTATGAATTCACCTAAGCTTTTTAATTCAGCAAACCACAAAAAAATCAAAACAAAGCAAGAAAATCAAAACCCAGATTCAAAAATCATAAAAAAAAGAGCAAAAAAAAAAAAGAAAAAGGTGTCACCTTGCTTTGTTTAACAGAAAACTAAATCACACCCAAAAAAAAATGTAACCAAAAATCTAGAATTGACACTAAAAAAAGAATATTTATGAACCAAAATTATGGGTTGAGATTTACCTTTGGTGCTTTTAGATGCTTTTGGAGAAGTTATGAGAAGCATAAAGCCGTGGCAATGCTTATTAGCTTTTGTATGAAAGGGAAAAGTTGACATAGCACAAATGGTTCCGAAAAGGGCATAAAAATGAACAAAATAACCAGTCAAATATTCGGGTTTTAATGTAATTTAAAATTCATTGGAGGGTAGTTTGGGTAGTGAAAAATAAAATGCACTAAAGTAATAAACGTCTTGATTTAAGCAGCAGGAACAAGAAGAGTATTTTAGGCACGACTATTGCCAGGAATCAAGGCCCAGTTGGTTTAACACGTGGCGTAAGGGGTGACGTCTTTAAATAGCCACGTGGATTTTTCCATTTTTTAATAAACCAACAAATTTTTAAAAATTATTATTAATTATGGAATTGTGAGTGAGTTTTGACAAAGGGTAACGCACACCCTGAGCAGTTTGTAATAAAAAAATTAAAAAGGATAATTATTAACTTAATAATGAGATTTTTAATTTTGAGTAGGGACAGATGTCACTTGACAATTGGATAAGAAATGCTAAAACGTCATCATTCATCCTGACCAGGAAAATCAAAGTCAGCGTGCTACACTTTGTAACATCAATTTCTTTTCAGATTAATATTATAAATAATCTTTAAATTATAAAAAAATATTTAATATGATATTTATATGTTAAATTTTTTTAATAAATACTTAAATTATTAATTTATTAATTAATATAATATTTTATTTTAACGTAATTAATTTTATGTAATAATATTTAATAAATAAAATGTTTTTTAAATACTATATTAATTAATAAATTTATAATTTAAAAACAATATCAAAAATTTTTATAATTAAAATATTATATTAAATATTTCCTGATAATTAAATTAACTCTTTGTTTTTTTTTCTTATTATAAAAATTTTAGGGTCTTGAATTATCACTTAGGATTTTTCCAATGTATAGGAGGAAGGCTAATGCCATACCACTAATGATGAGAAAAAAAATAAAAAAATCTGAAAATTAATTCGAAGCCATGATGCTCAATTTGAATTTTTTTTATTTGATTCAAATCATATTCGAATATTAAATATATATATTAAATTCAAATTAAATTTTAAATCAAAAAATAAAAAAAAACCCACAAAAAATCAAATTATATATATTTTTTAATTTATATATATTTTAAATTTTTATAAAATAAAAGTAATAATTTTATATCAAAATCTACTTAAACAAATTAAAATTTTATATTAAAATAATATATAACAATTAAAAATTAAAAACTTGTAAACCAAATTAAACCAAACTAATAATATTCGATTTTATTCAATTAAGATTCAAATCGAATTTTAAATTTTCATAATATTATATAATATTAAAAAAAATCGAACCGAATCCTGATCTGAACCTTATCACCCTACATACCAGAATAAGACCACCATCCCTATCCTAAGTTCAGAACCCAAAACAAAAAACCAACCCCTAAAATTGTATGTCCAATGGTTTCACAGATTATAAGAAAAAAACAAGTTTATCAGCAAAAGCCACAAGAACAAGTGATTTGAGTGGAAAAGCATGCTATTGTTTGCATGCAAAGGAAATCCTAAGTAGTGCACACAAAGCACCGTATTTCCCCAGCTTCACTCATAATATTGGAAAATTAACATTCAACATTGATCACAACTTCATAAACAAGTAAAATCTATACATAATATTGGTCTTGCATTAGATTAACATGTTTTAATAATCTCCATATGACTTCCTTCCTCGTCCCGATGCCGGTATCCTCTGCTACCTTTAGTTCAAAACTCATAGCATCAAAGTTTAGGCAACATTTTACTTGAAACAATAAACAAGAAATTCAAACCTTGCATGAGCCAATTAATTTCAAGTAAACAGGTTTCATATACGGTTCAGGAGTGATACACTACTTGGGCAATCTTATATACTCATTCATCAGAAACTATCAAATCTGAAAGAACAGTAGTATATAATTTGCAGTTCAAGTCAACCACAATAGTATATAATTAGCACAAGCAAACTTGGTTAGAGCCAAAAGCATTCTGCTTCATCTCACTCCAGCTATACAATTTATGCTACAACAACAAATAACTATGTCTTATATCCCATAACTCAAGAGTCTGATTGTGTGAAAGACCAAAAAAAAAAAAAATCATGTTAGGTCGTAGTTTTGAATTTTTTTGCTCCAGCTATACAATTTATGGTTTGAAAATATTTATATTTCTTTAATTTTATCACTACTTACCTCAAAATGGTAAATGGTAAATGTCAGGAGCTGCTCAACAAACATTTACAAATCCTGCACCTGAAATGCAGAACACCATGCAAGTTCTAAACTTTTTAGATGCACTAGTGCATGCATTCCCAACATATGTACCCACACTATTAAAAGTCATCTTCCTCGTTAAATAATATCCACAAGCATTTCAAGCCATCGGAGCCAAAACGCGGTTTAGTTCAACAGTAAACCAGTGTACTAGAAACTTAAATTGAGTAGTTCTCTTACCTGTGTAACTAAAGAACCACAGAAATGTCTCTGCTATTTGTGAAAGTTACCTACAACTTGAGATATGCATTCCAAGAAAAACTAGAAAGTTGAAAAGCAACAAGCTCTCTATTTCGAAAACAATCTAGCGTGTAATTACTAATTACCTAAATGTTACATCCACACCTCAAAAGTGGTTCTAACTAAGCTTAAAACAAGATAGAAGTCTTTAACTACAATAAAATGACAATAAAAACTTAAAGCACAAGACAGCAGCTCAACTAGTATTCAAGTTTGCGCTTTGATGAGAAGCTCTAGGTTGATGCTGATCTAACTTGGGTTCTCTAAGCAATAGATTGAAGATGGGCAAATCTAATAGTTCCTCTGATCTTCTAGATGGTGTCCACTTGCAAAAGTGCACAGTGCCTACCGAACCATGTGATGAGAAATGCTGAAATTTGAAAAGCTGGGGCAACTTCTATGGAAGATCTTAAACACGCTCTACCTTGAGTAAGGATGATAGCGGCTACTGCCTCCATATCCTGTTCTACTACCATATAATCCACCTGGTCCACCAAAACCAGCAGCTGGGCCTGACTCATAACTACCGCCTGAGCCTGAACCACCATAACTTCCGTAGCCTCCGCCTCCACGCCCATATGCACCTATACCACTCCCACTAAGCCCACCAGCGTAGGAACCAAACCGGCTAGAATAACCAAATGATGAATCTCCACGATAACCAGAAAAACCACCACCAAAACCCCCATAACTACCTCCAAAATCAGCACCACCACCAGCATAACCACCATAATCTCCAAATCTACTGGCAAATCCTCCAAAAGACCTATAAGGAGCAGGACCAAAACCACCATAATCACCAAATCCACCAAAACCATCATTGTATGAGCGAGCCCTAGATTCACTACCATATGCAGGATCAGGTGGTGGGTTTGAGGCTTTCTTTGGTTCAGCCTTCTTGATTTCAACCTACAACAAAGAAGTAAGTTAACCTAGGTTTCCTTCACCAGAAATTATCTTGACAACCTGCCTTGAGAGGAAAAGAGTCATAATAACAACAATAAACCTGCACCAAACTCAGCTAAATTGAAAGTTGAGAACTAAATAACTCTTAAAACCAACAGAAGTGAAATGATGATATTTAATTCAAGAGAATAACAATAACAGTTAATTCCATCATTGGAAGAGTTTGACATGTCACTTTGCACTGTTTCTGTGCAAAGAGCATATACATATCTGTTTACATCAGATTGTATAGGAAACCATTTAACAAAAGTATTCACCTGGGTACCCTCCATATCTATCATGTTTCCATTGGCCAGCATATTGTCAACAACTTTTTCACTGTCAAACACGATAAACCCAAACCGCGAGAACGCTTGGTTGCATGGTCACGTATTATCTCATGTTCCACCACCTTTCCATACTTCGAGAAGAAATTCTTTAACTCATCTAAGGTTCAAACAGCAATTAAAAGGAAAAATAATAAATTAACAATATTCTCCAGTTAAAAGCATCAACAATAACAATTCGTAAAGTAAAATATAACACTCAATGTCACAAAAAATGAATATATATCAAATATCAGACCTTCGGTAACAGAAGTTGGAATCCCACCAACAAATATTTTCTTTGTCTTGAAGTCATTTGACTGTGAAGTACCTTTTGGAATAGTCCTTTTAATCTCAACCTGTGCCAAAAAAAAAAAAATCCATTATGCAAGTCTCATAACAAGATCAATCCAACTTTTCCATGAAATACAAAAATCACATTACAGCTAAATCCACCTCAACAACATGGTGCTCACTTCTTAAGAATCACATTACAAATGACTAAGATTTTTTTTTTTTTGTTCTTAAAATTACAGCGACATTAACACTAAGAAGCTTAACTCAGCACAACTCAAATGCAATGAAAGTAGCCAAACCTTGAGTTCTAAAATTTATCAGACCCCCAACACAGGTAAAGTTGAGATTTGTCCAAATTGTAACCAACAGCAGAATCTTCAAATAAAACAACAATAATACAAATACAAAAAAGGCTGAGGGTTTAGCTTACTCGCTTGCCATTAATAACATGATCCTCTTGCATAACAGTGTCAACAACAGAAGGATCCGCAAAGGTAATGAACCCGAAACCACGGGGCCGACCCGTATGCCGATCTTTCATTATAACAAAATCTGTTATCTCCCCATACTTTTCAAAGTACTTAGTAAATGTCTCTAAAAAAACCCAAAAAAAAAAAGCAAAAAGTCAGCAAATTGCAGAACACCCATCAAAGAAAAATAAATAGAAACCTCAAAGAGATTAAAAAAAAAAAAAAGGCTCAGCTCACCTAGAGTTGTATCCTTAGCTAAGCCTCCAATAAATATTTTCCTGCACAAGAAGGGAAAAAACTATTAAACATTGAGAGTGTTTGTAAATCGATAACAAAGGGCAAAAGGGTATAGATTTGTATTACCCAGGGCCAGCGCCATCTTTGTCACTGACTTTTCTGGAACCCATGAAAGCTAGGATTTTGAGATCTATGGAGGCTAAAGAGAGAGATAGGGAGGAGTGCCAGGGTTTTGAGATAAGCTGGATTGGAGGCTAGGGTTGGAAATAGATAGAAGAAAAAATGGAAAATCAGGAAAAGAGTGTGATTTTTTTTCTTTTTAATAATAAAGCCTTGACTTTGTATTACAGAAATATCTATCTAATATGCAAAATTACCATTTTTTCTATCTTTTTTAGCTTTCTTTAATTTCTACTTGTACTTTTATGTTTTACTAATATGTATAGTATTTTTATCTAACTCTTCTCTTATTTGTGATTTTTTATCTAATCATTAATAAAATTTTTCATTTAATATTATAAAAAGGAAATGTGCCAAAAAAATTTTTTGGCAGTAATGTCCATTTGTTGTTTTATTTCAAGGGCAAGATTTGTATCTTGGACTTGAAATCTTGTTCTAGGTAATGAATTTGTTGTTTAAAATTTTTCAGTTTTTTTTATTGATCTAACCAAGGCAACCTTGTTTCTTTGTTTGTTGGCAGCATATGCTACATATATTCCTGCGGTGTTGAAAACAGCACATGATTCCTTTTCAATTAAAATAATAAAAAAAAGGTTGGTAGATTTATTTTTAGTATTAGAAAAAAATTAGGAAAATTGCAAGTTTTTCTTTTTCCTTTTCTTTCCTTTAAAGGAAAAAAAACATCAAGTCTCTTCTCCTAACTTTCAAACTTTTTATCCCAAGTAATTAACTAATTATGGAAAGAAAAGAAAAAAAAAAGCATAGAATTATGAAATTAGTTGTAATAATTAAAACTTTAGTATGTACTTATGTTTTTATGTTTTGATTTTTGTTTTTGGAGTTTTGCTTTTGTGTTGGTTGTTGGGTTTTTAGGACAAAGAGACCCAAAACCACAATCCAAAGATAAAAGGGCAGAAAACCAATACAGCAAACCCTCTGTCCAGAACAGCAGCTGCAGGTGCACAAGAAACCAAAAGAAGAAATGGGTCATGACCAAGAGGAGGAGGAGACACCACCAGCAACCCCAACGACCACCGCCAGCACTGCCAGCAATGACCAAGAAGAAGAAACTTGGAACCACCAGAAACAAACCCTCGTACTAGAGCTTTCTGAGAAGCTGATAACTGGAGATCTTCAGGCCAAGATTGAAGCTGCTAGAGATATAAGAAAAGTTGTTAGAAAATCATCTGTCAAGACACGTTCAAAGTTTGCTGCTGCTGGGGTTATTCAGCCTCTTGTTTTCATGCTCTTGTCTTCTAATCTTGATGCACGTGAAGCTTCTCTTCTTGCTCTTCTCAACCTTGCTGTTAGAAATGAAAGGTCTCTAACTTTTTATCTGCTTTTTTTAATTTTTTTAAACATAGATCCATATTTGGGTTTATTTTAAAGTTTCAATTTTTTTTGGGTTTTTGTTTCTTTTTAGAACCATAGTGGTTTGAGTTGTCATTGTTTGCTTGGTTTCTTGGAAAAATAAGGGAGAAATGATTAGAGGGAAAAAAAGGATAAAAATTAATGATAATGTATAGGCTTGGATTCTCTAGTTCTTTGAGTAAACTCTGTAAAGGTGGGAAATTTTTTTATTTTCTTTTTCTTCCTTTTATGTGGGTGTGAAACGTTGAGAATATTGGACTATTTGGTGTTGTTTTGATGATTGTTTTCGGTTTTGTTAGGAGCTTGGTTGATTTTTGTTGGATTTTATTGCATCGCTTATGGTCTTTGCCCAAATAAAATAGTTAATTGAGGGGATAGATTCAGGTGGAGTTAGCTCTTTGTTTTTCTGATTGTTTTGATTCTAATGTCCAAGTGGATATTTTGGGTGAGAAGCTCTAGGAAAAATGGTTTCTTGATGCAATTTGAATCTATGTGTTCAGATGCTTAAATTTAGCATAAATACATGCCCTAGCTGTTGACTGTTCTCTCTGAATGATATATTCCTGGTTAATAGTCTGCAAAAGCTCTAGTAGATGTCCAGCAGTCATTCTAGTGTTGGCAACCAATTTCAATTTTCTTTCCACATGTTAATGATTCTGTTCGGTTCAAGAAATTTAAGTTAATTATGTGATGGATGGTTCACAATTATGAGAAATGCCATTTAATGATTCTAATTTCTGGAATGTTGCTTGAATCGTTTTCTTTCATGTAGTCGTTTATGCAGTTCTGTACTTTTTACTCTTGCTACCATCATCTTCTTTCATTGGTTAATTGAATTGTTAATGTACAATTGTTATATGTAGACAATTCATCTGTTTGTCATCCTCATTTTGTGTTATCAGAAACAAGGTCAATATAGTGACAGCAGGGGCTGTCCCTCCGCTTGTAGAGCTTCTCAAATTGCAAAACAGCGGTTTTAGAGAATTAGCCACAGCAGCAATATTAACACTCTCAGCTGCTGCACCTAACAAGCCTACAATTGCAGCATCTGGAGCTGCACCCCTTCTGGTCCAAATCCTTAGCTCTGGAAGTGTTCAGGGAAAAGTTGATGCTGTCACTGCCTTGCACAACTTATCGACCTGCAAAGAGAATTCTGTTCCTGTTCTTGATGCTAAAGCAGTTTCCCCACTTATAAACCTCCTCAAACAATGCAAGAAATATTCCAAGTTTGCTGAAAAAGCAACGGCCCTACTTGAGATCCTTTCTATATCCGAAGAAGGGCGAGTTGCAATCACTGATTCAGATGGTGGGATCTTAACCTTGGTAGAGACGGTAGAAGATGGCTCTCTTGTCAGCACACAGCATGCTGTTGGAGCTTTGCTTTCTTTGTGCCAAAGCTGTCGAGAAAAATACAGGGAACTCATTCTTAAAGAAGGTGCAATCCCGGGGCTTCTGCGACTGACTGTAGAAGGCACAAGCATAGCTCAAGAAAGAGCTCGGACACTCTTGGATTTGCTCAGAGATACTCCTCGGGGAAAGAAATTGGCTTCCTCGGTTCTAGAGAAAATTGTTTACGATATTGCTACCCGTGTAGATGGAGCAGATAAAGCTGCTGAAACTGCCAAGAGGTTACTGGAAGATATGGTTCAAAGAAGTATGGAACTAAGCATAAATCGCATCCAACATAGGGCTGCATCTTGCACACCTGACAAAATTCCTTCTGCTTGATGCATGCGTTCTGCCCAGCTAGCAAGTACACTAGTTAAAATTTGTGTCCATTCTAGATTAACATCCAATATAGTGGGAATCAATAGAGTAAAATGTCATGCATTAGGGTTCACTAGGAGCTTTTACCTTTTGGAGATGCTATTTACTACCTCATGGGTGTGTTGTACATATTGACCCTGATCGCCATCGTCCTTGTGTATATACAAAGAACCTTTCTGTTATAATACGTGTACATTTCCACTGACGAAATCATAGGAGAGGCAGCACTGAATTAAGGTTGTGACCAAATACTTCTTTAACGAAAGTTCTTATGTACTATTGTTCGTTTTCTCTGATTATATAAACTTATTTCACTCTTTTCTCATGTATACCAAATCATTCGTTATTAGTACAAGAGTTAGGCAGAAGAAGATGTGTTGTATCTGGCATTAGTCATGCATTAAAAGATTATCAACAACAAAAATTCATGGTGATTCAAACAAAAAGACCACTTATGGTCAAGGTTTAACAACCTTGACTATTGAGGCAATCCCTTGTTGAGATGCTGTTTGATGAATGCTTGAAACTAAAGATATTTCCATTGCCAAAAAGGAAGAAATTTAAACCCTCAGATTCATCTACAATAGTCAACAGTGCTCAACTTGTCTCGGCACAAGGGTAGTGCACTAGTGCTACCTTTAGTGGGTCTCAATGCTCCAAGTACGAGATCAGATGCGAGGCACCAACATAAATTTGGTGTGTTGATTGATGATTTGTTGAGACATTGTATCTTAGGACTTTTGCAACCAAATGTTGATAAGTGATGGTCCTGTCAGGAGACATGATTATATCCTCCACCCGCATTTGGATCACAAATACCAGAAAATCTGGTGTCCCCTCTTCCCTACTCAAAAGACTTTATAATTGGAAAGTATGGGGGTTAAAAAACTCTTACAGGGGTTGATCCAAAAAGCAAAGGCATTGGTACAAAAATTGAGTCTGCCCCAGTTGGATTGCAGGTTTGACATAAAGAAAAACCTTCGAGCAATGGAACTTTGAAAAGCAGCTTCCACGTCTAATCCCATAATGGCAGAAATTACTGAAACAAAGACTGTTGATTTAGATGTTGATGATGTGAGTGTTACTGTGATGTAAGTAACCAATTTTAAGTGACGAATGACAAATGATAGATTAACCAAGTAGAAAATAATGGGATGAATTTTTGGGTTTTCAGTATCTTCACTGTTTTTCTCTTTGTTTTAGCTTCATCTTTATAAAGGCAAGTCAAATTCTCAAATTGCTTGCTACATTTTTACTGAATTCTTGCATTTTAGTAATCTGGGTACTTTGATTTTGGTCTTAATAAATAGATTCAGTTCATTGTAGGAGCTTTTAGTTCATAAAAAAATGTTGGGTCCTTCTAGATTATCTAGAACTGGAAGATTTAGGCAATGCTTTACATATTTGGAATAGAGGTCCTAGTTTTCACCATTATAGCTAGCTACAATGAGCCAGCGGACCCTTTTCCACCCTTCAATAAAGATCATAACCTTCCTTACCTCCACATCAAATGCCACATTTCAATCGGATAACATGGTTGTTAGAACCGGAGAGGATTTTATGGCTGCCAACCAGACTGCATGTGCCACTTTTATCAATGTGACAGATGTCGCAGAAATAAAGGAAGCGAGTACAAATGAAACTAATTCATTTGTATGTGATGATGATTTGAAAGGACCACTTAACAGTAAAGACACGGAAATGTTCCATTTGATGATGAAGGTGGCAATTTAAGGATACACATTTTTATCTGTTCGGGAAGCCAGCTCCTGGAGCTGAGGAATGGCGGTTTCTTATATGACATGGCCGTTTGTGATATTTTTTCTTGGAGGAATGTGCATAGTGCAACAAATGAACCTGATACACCCTTCTTTGAACCTTTGAACAAATGAGAACAGTAAGTGGCACTCAGATACAACAAAACTTAACAATGTAGTACCAGTTGAAATTGATGGTTACACGAGGGCCTCTTTCGATTCAGAAGTTTTCTTAAGAGGGAAGAAGAAGATTCAGATTTCTAGAATTGAACTACTACAATCAATATCAAACTGATACCATGGAACATTTTGCTGTCAAGAAAGTTGTTCCCAGGATCAAAATTGGTTTGCCAAGCAATATGAACTAAACAGCTCAATGAAAAAAAGAATGCAGTAGGAACTTTAGACTGGCTTGACTCACACGGTACTAACAGCTAGGAGGCCATGGAAAACAACTTGATACTAAACCACCTCTTCCCATTGATCCCTTCCCTTCCGAATACAAGACGCAGAGGAAGAAGCCCGTTGTATAGAAAACCAGTCCTTCTCCTATTTCCTATTAGCCTTAGCCCTTTTAACTGGAACAAGAGTCAGTTTCTTGCCAGAATTGCTAGTTCTAGCTTCTGCTGTTCGCAACATTGAAATAGCAACTTGATGCTGATTTTTGTCAGCTTTCTCATCTGTAAATAGTTTCAACTCAAATACTCCCCGGGTGAAACCTCTGGCTACCTGTGTATTAAAATTCTGGTGATCAGTGAAATATTGCAAATAATATAATCAGTGTAGAATATAAACTAATCATCCAGACAAATTTAGTTTCAGGCAATGCCCAAATACAAAATTACTCATGTTCACTAAAATTTTTGTAGAAACAGAAATGATATTAGTGGCCAAGGATGTCAAGGTTGAAGATAGATAAATTGTTCAAATGAAGAATGTTCCTGAACTAGATATTACATCCTAAAATAGACTTAAAGAATGTTCAAGGGAATTGTGGGATGATGAGAAGATGAACACAGAATGTTTATAAGCAAACAATGCCAAGCACCCAGCATATAGCGATTGAATATTTGAAGGTTAAGTTAAAAGACAATGTGATGGAATTATAGTATTTATGTTATATAAATTGTGATAACAATGCAGAAATGAAATAAGAATGTAACTCAATGAACATGGTGCACCTTCAAAAGAATCCAAACTTTCAGGGAACTGCTCAAGAATGCAAGTCTTGTCCTTTTCCCTGAGGTTAGGTAATTACACATGTGTTGGTCAACCTTCAGTACAAATCTTGGCCAAGATTTTGGGTTTTCAGGGTCTGGTTTCTGTTTCATTGCCGCCTAATGCCAAAAAAAGAAAAAGGAATAAACAGACTATTTTGTTGCCATTCCCATCAAAAGAAGAGGAAAAACAAGAGTTTGTTATAATTATAATTATAATTATAATTAGAACAGAACTTCTCCCAACTCTTATCCGTGGAGTTGCAAAGTATGTTATGTTCTAAAAATATATATAACTTACAAGTAATCGACAAATTTCTTGTTCAATTTTTGAGAAGGAAGTCTCTAGAGCTTCAACCCTCCCAGTACCATGACAGCATGTGCATGGTTCGCTAATCATAAATGTCACACTAGGCCGAACCTGTTCAAGATTATAACTACTTATAAGTTAAAAAGAGGTAGTTCAGTTGAAATTGAAAAGCAAATGTTGCCATTGGAAATATGGTTTTATCTCAAGTTCAAAATTAGATATAAACTTGGACTAGGTCTACATATATATCATTCATTGGCACTCTGGGAAAGTTCCCCAAAAATAAAAAGTCAAAAAAAAAAAATCAGGAACCAGCATACCCTCTTTCTTGTTATTTCCATGAGCCCATGTTTTGATAATTCAGAGACTTTCACCATTGATCGGTCTCTCTCAACTGCTTTCTTAACTTCTTCATATACTAGTCTCTTATTAGCTGAAAATTAGAGAGCCAAGTAACATCAGTGACATATTTCCTTACTCCTTAGAAGTTAAAACACTTCAACGGTAACTTGTTTTGCTAGTTCAAGCATGTATCATTTACAAGGAGCACTTGAGCAGTTATACCAATGAGATGGATAGGGAAAAGGAGAGACTAAGAGAGAGTATTAGCATCTTCAAGGTTTACTAGAGCACTTCCCTTAACAAGATGGATAGAAAAATTCACATGAACTGTAATACACGTTTGACAGTTTAAGCAAGATATAGCATTTCAAAGGTGAAATTGAGATAGATCTAATAAACAGACAGATAGCAAAGATAACTATAAAAATGAGAGAGAGAGAGACTTACAGTCATCTACCATATCAATGAAATCAACTACAATAATGCCACCAATATCCCTAAGACGTAACTCCCTCGCAATCTGAAAAGCAATTTTTTCTGTTTAATAAATTAACTAACAAACCCTTTAAGGGTCCTAATGGATGGATAAATTTTTTAAAACAACATACATGAAGAACAAGAGACTGCAAGGAAGATTGATTATGCACAGAACAGAAGTACTTAATAAAAGATACTCACACCTGTTACCTTTCCTCCTTCTCCCTACTTTCTCTTACACTTGCTGAAGGTGAAACTCACTTCTTAATTTGAATGTTAAGTAGCATGATTGTGCTTATATCAAGGGAAATAATTATTGGGATACCCGAGTCCAATTTTTTACATCTTTATATAAATGTTAAGTCACACGATTGTGTTTATATCAGTTGGATTGATTATTGGCATGCCAAGGGTCTTAGAGTAGCCATCTGCAGGCACTATGAGAAAAAAGTGATTACCCATCCCACATGCAATAAAAAATATTTAAATATAGTTGAAGTAGAAAGAAACTAAGAAACAGTAAATTATATTTCTAAGAAAGTAAATAAAAACGATGAGATCCATGATCCAGTGGCATATGTAGTCTCTCAGATTGACACACACCAATGTATAAGTATGGCCATACAAAGTTTAATAATAATAAGTGTTTAAAATACTTGTTTAGCAGCTGCAAGGTTGACATCTAAAGTGGCCTTCTCCTGTGATGTTCCATGACCAAACATCCCATGTCCTCCATTCACATCAATAGAGACTAAGGCCTCCGTTTGTTCAATCACCAGGGAACCTCCGTTAGGGAGTGGAACCCTGTAGACAAAAGTTGCAGTTGACATCAGGTAGGAAACAGAGAAGGTACAGAAATTTCCCCGATAACACAGAGGCAACTTTACATAATCATTAAGAATTTGGGGGAAAATATTAGCAATGATTAGTTTGACTCCTCTAATAGGAATGAATTACGACAATTCACCTTATTTATTCACTTTTTCAGAACATTTCCATAATCATAGCTTGTGTCTATGTTTTGATCTCAGTGGAATATTTTTCTTCAAGAAAATGATCAAACAATCCAGAGATGCATGCAAAATTCTGAAGCCAATTGAGGGAAAGATATTAGACCCAGTTTTTAGGTCTCAGCACCCCGATTCTGGTAGTGGCTTTAAAGATAGCTAAAATCCTTTCTTCCAGACCCAAAAGATTGAATGACATCCATCTCTTGAACCTCTTGGTTACTGAGTTTGAAGCCTCATCTAGTTAACTCCTGAATACTTGATTTTTATAACTCTAACCCAGGAAAGCAAGATCAGCCAATTACAAGGAATCAAATCTATCAGGAGATCACCGAACATTATTATAAAAGTAACAAATAGCTTACAAACCCATCCTCACAGCTACATATATCGTAAAAAATTAAGAGTATTTGCAGAACAAAGCAACCCTCACCTTTTGCTAAGCATATTGTTGATCTCTTCCTCAATGTTGAAATCATCAAAAAAGGGAATTCTTTTATCATATAACTCTACTCGATCACAAAGATCAGGAGCTATATCCTGAAGATAGTTGGTAACCTGATACCAAAAAGGAAAAGTTAATATCTTCCTATTTCATAGCAAATAATTAATACAAAGATAGTGAGATCTAAGAATAGCAATGATAAAGTAAAATCAGAAATACCCAGTAAAAAGATATAAGCCACTTTTTGCTTTATAAACAAAATTAATTCAGTATCTTTAGCTATGGTTAAAATTTGATTAAAAAGAAAAAAAAAAGTGAGGATACACAAGTAATGAAAACAAAAAATCACACGCATGCCTGCATGCAGAAAGATATGCATTCATTGCCTTGCAGAAAGATATGCATTCATTGCCTTTCAATCCCAATAACGCAATACCTCGTAATATGTTCTTGGCGAGTCAACTACCATTTTGTTAACCTGAAGGTACATCCAAAAAGAGGTGATATTAGGGGCTATAATTGTAGAGAGACTATCATAAGCTTCTGATGTAAAATAAAGCATTGGAAAGGTATAAGTGAATGTCAGAAAGGGAGATAAAATAAATGACAGAGACTTGCTGTATCATTAAAGTAATCCTGGACAACTGAGAGTGTTTGACCCATTGCTCTATGCAGCAAAACAGGTGTTGCCCCTTCTACACCTTCATCTGCTGCAAGAGCCGCTGATTTAGCATGTTCTGCTATACTTTTCCATGTTGAAAGCAAACCGTCCAAGTCCTTCTGCAACTCCTCCATAGAATGTCCAGTAGCAACAGTCCTTACAGTTAGACCAAAGCCCTGGGGCTGCAAAGTTTTAGCTATGACTTTCAGACGTGTATGCTCAACTCCACTGATCTTTCTAGAGACTCCAATTCTGTCGCAGCGAGTGCGTAATATCTGCAACCCAGGAGAACTAGTTTAGAAAAACAAGCAACTCAATGAACCATCATTTAGAGAGGGAGGGTAGGGGGGATTAAAGGGGGCGAATAAAGTAAAAGGGAAAATACCCAGAATCTGCTTCTTAATTTTGGATAAGCAGTCAATGTGGGAGCTTTTGTACCCAATCCTTCTTTCACAACTTGCACAATTATTTTGGTGCCCTTTCGGACATGGTACCATTTGTTTTGATCAGCATCCTTTACATCTTGGGAATGTGACACTGAAGAGCCATTTGATATTTCTAAAGAAGAGGAACCAAGAAGAGTTCCTTCTTCTAGGTGGTGCTCTCCATCTAACAAATCTTCAAAATCAGCATCTGCTTCACCAGAGTCAACTACACTACCATTCACACTCTCCTTCAGAACTTCTAAAGCATCAAAATCCTCAACAACATCATTATCCTCAAAGCTATTATGCATAAATTGCACTTCCTCTGGCTCCTCATCCTCAGAGTCATCGTCTGCTGCATCTTTAATGAAAACAACATCTGAGGAAGGTTCAATTTCATCTGTAGCTGAGTGCTCACTAGGGGCTCCAGAAACTAAGCCTCTGGCTCGTTTCTTTGTCCTCTGTTGAAATGGAGGGAATACAAACGGTTCCTTCTTGTGATTTATGTCCATAAGAGAATGTTTGGAGCTTCCAATATTTACAAATGCACCACCCATATGTGGAACAAGTTTTGTAACTACTCCTAAATATACACTATCACACTGCACATGGCTTTTAACTGGTTCAAGTAACAATTCAACCAGTTTACCATCTTCCATTACAGCAATCCTTTGCATGGTACATTTCGAAGAATTAATCAATATAACAGTAGATACAGAGTCCTTGGAAATTATAGGACTGCTTTCTTCAGTCAAGAACTTTTCTGTAATTTGGTCATGCTGATTATTTGCTTCCAACTTAGTTATCTCATCTTTGACAATGTTGTTAACTTTTGACATATCAGCCTCCACATCAACCCCATCCGTGAGAAAGAAAAGACGTGAACGAAAATACCAAGGTTCCTCAAGAGGATGGTCTCTTTCAGAAAGAAGTGTATGAGAATATAATCCCTCCTCTGCATCACTATTTGCAACCACTTCACTTGGTTCTTTTTCATCCTTGGCTGAAAGGTCTTTCAAGAATCGCACTAACTTGTTTAGATCACTTTCATGAAGTTTCGTAATCTTATCGTCAGCTGTCAAAGCACTGGAAGCATTTGAGTGTTCAGAAACATTTTAAAGAAGTTGCATATAGAAAAGTCCCAAAATAGAGATATTACCTTCAGCTTGAACTGAGCCAGAAGGTTCTATAGGAATATTACTTTCTTCAATCCATGACCCCCATGCATGAGGTGGACAGGTTTCAGTTTTAGACCTCATCCATGAATCTCTCACCACAATTTTTCTTTCTTGCTTAGATGGAGGAACTGACAAAGAAAATTGCGGTCCAGGTCTCCAAGTGATGTCAGATAAAGGCTGCATTTCTCCTTTTATGAAATAATTGTACTTGAAATTTACCCCGCAGGCCATCTGCCAAATATAAAAGGTGATTAGATGGAATATGCAGTGAATATAAGTTACACAAATGACCAGGTTCATTTTTGTATGAATAGGTAACAATTATTATCCAGTTACTTTTAATCAAAACAAAGACCATATGAATCAAAATTCCTTTGTAAACAATATATATATATATAGAGAGAGAGAGAGAGTGAGAGAGAGCTGAAGGATATCATTATTCTTTATTATTTTTCACGACAAATTTCATTGTTGCCATGAAGAGAAAAGAATAAAAAGGAGGCTCATGTACAGAAAGGAGTCCTCCAAACTTTAGAATAACTCGATAACACAGAGCTTGTCTTATCATGGACTTTCTCCAAAATTCTGTCTTGTTGAAGCGAACTAAGAAAGAATTACTAGTCTCATTAATGCTTCTATCCAAAATGTATAATTTCAGATGCAGAAAGTGCAAAGAAGACAAATTTTGGATATCATTACAAATACTTGACATGTCATTACAGATAATACAAATCACAGATATCAGGATTATTTGCTGATTTGACAATTTTTTACATTTCAAAGTTTATCAACAGAAAGCTTGTGCCACTTATCAGATTTGGATGAGTACCTTAACTTCAGCCCTCCATATGTGTGAATGTTCAGTAGGAGACATTAAGATTGCCATCTCTGGTTCCCAGCAGCCTACGGCAACAGATTCCCCACTAATGTAGAGAAGTTGACCTTCTGCCAAATCTGCTTCTACAGTCCAAACTACCTCACATAGTCCTTCAAAAGGGGCTGTCGACAGGCCTGAGAAATTTAGTCCAGTTCGTCAGCCATTCTGAGCTATAGGAAAGTATTCCCTGAAAGGGTTACATGAGATTTGGATAACTATAAAGATAAACATGCCAACTTTACAAATAAAAGAAAAAAAGAGATATCTAATAGCTAGAAGATGGTTTTTTCCTATTAATTTAAAGGATATATTTGTGGCTAATGGTGATAATCTTTAAGGATTTTATTTCCAGGAACTACATAAAAAGTCTATATTTCTCTCATTCCCATTGTTATCTGTCAGCCAGTATACATAGGCGGGTTCCACAGTCCTTGCTCATCTCTTAATTGATTGTAACTGTAACCCCCTTTCCTTGCATTAAAGGCAAGTTGCAACTTGTGTGCAAAAAAGGTATCATGGTGCTTTGTATCTTTTTTTTCTATCTTTGACCTAAAGCCGATTGATCTAACTTGAGTTTAGGCTATTCACCATCCAAATGGTTGAAGGAGAGGCACTTGACAGACAAGATGAAGAATTGCTGCTGTATCCAACCCCACAAGGTTCAGAATTAAAGAATTGGGAGATCATAGAGCTGCCTATTGTCCTTGAATCTTTCCAAAAGTAATGTAGTGATTAAGTAATCTTGTCAGATCTACCACATAATAAAGGCAGATTATAAATATAACAACAGTAAGTCTTTCCTGTCAGATTAAGTAATCTTGTCAGATCTACCACATAATAAAGGCAGATTGTGGCATAAGTCAATATAAAATTGCAAAATAGGACTGCCACTTACCTTTCTTCAAAGACATTATTGGGGATATTGGTGGAGAATTATGATTTCCAGCACAAAGAGTAAATCTGAACACATTTCCAAGGGGAATGTGATGGCCTGAAAACCTGCTTCAACAGTACAATCAATAGTGACTTGAAGAGAGAGAGTGGAAGCAAAGGTGATGAGAATCTAAAATAAAAACATCATTTCAATCCAATGGCATTCATGTTTTCTAACCGTGTCCAAATTGTGGTTCTGCATCTTCCTAGAATAATATAAACATATTTTTACCTTTGCATCCTAAACAAGTAGTTTTCCCAGTTAACGACAACGACTCTAGAAGTTAAAGAAGTATAGTACAACAAAAAGCACAAACATGATTTCACATCTAAAGCGCATTAGCTGTTGTTTTCTCTTTTGAATGTGTCAGACAAATTCAAATTCCGTCACAACCAAGAAGGTGGTAAACATGTTTAGTAGAACAACATTAGTATCACAAAATACAACTTGATTGGCTTTGGAATTACACAAGACATCATTGCAAGAACAGGGCCGAAAATATGGTTATACCCAAAAGAATGATTGTAACAACAAGTAATAACTAATAACGAGGCTTCGTTCCTTGACGAAATGCAAATTATCCATTAATGCTAAAGCTCCTATTAGTGCATACTACTTCTACCAAAGTAACCCTCTTTAAAATTGTAATACAACAAAGCTATCCAATCAACAGAAGAAGTGACTTTCTGAATTAAAACACTATTGAAAAACTAAAGAAAATCAAACGAACCAGAGCAATTCGACAAAAGCTCCCACCTTTCACAACTTCACACACACACACACACACACAAAAACCCATTCATCCTTATCCTTAAAGAAAGCAACAAACATTGAAGAAAACGGAAACCCAGTTGAACAAAAGTGACACTCACGGTGAGAAGAACTTAAAGGAGCGAAGCAGACAAGAGGGTGTTCGTCGAGAGAAAAGACTGTAAGGCCGAGGCCAAGCTTCTAAGACATCCATGAAAGTGGGGTGCTGGAGCTCAGAGAAGTAATGGATAGCGGAAGCTCTCAGGTTGGCAAATTTGGGGTGATAATAAGGGGAGTTTTGTCATTTGAGGGGGGTGAGGGCCAAGGCATTGGTTTTGAGGATAAATGGATAAATGGGATTTTTCTCTTCGGCTAACGGTGGATAATTCAGTGGTTCCTTCCCCTTATCTTGGCTCCTTCTATGGCAAGTGCGCACATTTGCCACACATGACACAAGAAAATTTTTTAAGACATATATATATATATATATATTACTTTTCTCATTGTGCTACCTTAAGTATGCAGAAAAAATAGGTAAAAATATTTATACAGATATAGTATTTTTTAACTTAAATGTATAGTAATATATATTTTTTAATATTTTTAAATAATAAAATAATTTTATATAAATCTTTATAAATAAATCAAGTTGAAACTTGAATAAAACATTAAAAATATCAATCAAATTTGAATCGATGTAACTCGATTCATAAATTCTTTTATATAGACTTTGAAATTTAAATCAAATATTTTTGTTAAAAACAAAAATATTTAAAATAAAATCTTTAAATAAAAGAGTAATGCTATTAGTCAAGAAGCAAGGTCAACAAATTGAACACTTAGCAAAGAAATACTACATAAGTGATCATCAATGAGCACAGGGACCACAAAAAAAAAACATTCATTTTGTGGCGTCTCAAGTTAGCCAACCAATTTGATATTCCCCTCCAACCTCTTGGTTCATGTCGTAGCTTGTAAAACTCTGGTGCAATGGTCAAGCAAGCTAAATCCTGGGTGGATTTGCCTTTTCCCATGAATCCAAATGTCTATCACCTCTAGGAAAGGTGGTTTGACCTGAATCTAACTATTTTGAATCGATTTAATTTGATCTCTTAATTTTTTTTTTTTAAATTAAGTATCAGAATCGAAATTAAATTTTAAGTAAATTCGATTTGATACATTTAAAATTTTTAATTGATTAATTAATTTTATATTTATATATTTATATTTATTTAATTTATATTTATATTAAAAATAATATTTTATTAATTTTAAATTATTTCAAATCAAATATTATTTTATATAATATCAAATTAAATCGAATTCAAATATCATATATATATATATATATATATATAATCGACTCAAATTCAAAATTAACAAAAATTCATCTTCATCCAACTTGTTACCATTCATAATCACCTCCTCGATGTAACTTGACTTTAACCAGTTCAAATGTTTTTGTCAAACATAACTCCATGCCAAACTGCAGTTGGTGTCAATCTAAGTTTAAAACTGGTGTTTGATAAGCCAACCTGTTGAACAGAAACAAAATCATGGTCCATATTTTGTAGTACAAGCAGAGACGTGTATGGCTGTTATTGCTGTGAATGATATTGGAGAACATTCTTCACGTTAGACTTGTAAACTTAGGGGCTCTTGCTTTCCGTTTGAAGATGATGCAATTCAAATTTTGACTCATTCCAAACAACTGAGATGTTATTAGGACATTAGCTTTTTTAGTCTCTTCGTCTCATACCATTGAAATGCGAGCTTCGGAGCAATGGTAGGATTGCATTTTTGTGACCCGAAGATCACGGATACGAATTTTGAAAACAGTCTCTGCAAAAATACAGAAAAAAGGCTATGTATTATGAACCTTCACCCCGATTCTCGCAAAGTGGGGAGCCTTGTGCTTCAGGGTTACCCCTTTTTTTGTTATCTCATTCCCTTGGAATCTGCTGAAATGGTGAAGCTTTGGCCAACAACTGTATGAGCTGCTGTACTCTTAGTTTCAGCTTGAAATCTAACCTGCCAGCAGATTTTAGTTTCACTAATCTAGTTTTCTTTTCAATCTAATTCCATTTGCACTAAAGAGTGAAGCAAGCAAGAAGACATAGTCTCCACGAAGAAGCTCCAGGCAGAAGTGAGATGCATATATAACACCAGAAACTCTCACAATATGTACATTAAAAGGTCAGAAACTCTCATACGTCACCACATCAAGGTAAACTTGCGGGCAACAACACTCACCTAACACTAAACCCAGGCTGATAACATTCACGTAAATAACTGTACAATAAACATGCTGTACATGGAACTTTTCTCAACTCTGCGTGCTTGTGATAGTCTCACCAAAAGCAAGAAGCCTCCTCTTCAGGCAGCAGAGGAGTCCTGCAAAGAGGGCATGTAACGTTCCAATAATTCAACCACTTTTCCAGGCACACCTTGTGAAAGAGATGGCCACAGGACAAGCAGTTAATCTCTGATTCAGGTTCAAATTGAGTCAGGCAAACGGAGCAGTCATGCTCAGGCCGGTTGCAGCAGCTACATACAGCATCAAACCGAACTGCTGGGGTCCTACTCCGGAACTCCTCAATGTAAGTATCAGAAGTACTAAGACGGAAGTCAAGTGATTCTGGGGGGTTTTCAACAGAGTCTGAGGAAGATGATGAGGAAAGATGGATACCAACAATGTGAAGGATTGATCGGATTATGCCTTTAATTATAGATATGGATAAGGCTGTGTTTACCAGGAGTACACATAGAACTCCTTCAGATGGCGCTGGGAGACTAGACAGACCCATTTTTTGTATCGAGGTTGGAGTTTTATGTGGGATTCAGAATGAAAAAGAGATGTGCTGATATATATAACCTGGAAAACATAAAACATCCATTAGAATACCATACAAAGAATAGAAATCAATGTAAAATTTATCAAATTATGCAAAGCAAAAGTGAACCATCAAGCTTTTAATTACAACGCTCACATGCAGATAACCTCAAAGATGAACAAATCACTGACCAACACACAAACGCCAAAGAAAAAGAGAGTTAATATTACTATAATTGATTTTGAAAATTACCTTAGAAGCAGAGAGGGAAAACCTTCATATGACAAGAGATGACTGATGAGTGCAAAACCTGGCAACCTGTAAGAGAGCCAGCATCGAATTGAGAAAGTGATGAGATGTTAGTGAAACATATGAGGAGAAAAATCACCAAAGAATTCTGATTTTTTTAATGAATAAAAACGAACAAGTACAACATTGATGAGGATGGGTTAAAAATGGCCCCTCGTTACTGGCCTCATAGCCGTGGAGAGGTTGATAAAGCCTATAGCCTATAGGATATGATAGGCTTTAAAAAAGGCATTTGATTCCAAGTAAAATCCATAAAGTAGAGGCTCAGAGAAATTGAAATATGAACCATTTCCGAAGCAAATCATCATATGCGATTTCAAACGAAAAATAACCCAACAGGGAAATTGAAATTGAGAAGCATTCAAAATTGTCTATAACTAACATCCCCACAAAGATCAATGCTTAATGAAACACCTTTCATAATTTTTTTCATTATCAAGATCTAGCCACGCTCAAACCTTGATGATAATAAACATGGTCAAAATGGGAAATCAAAGTCACAACAAAAAGGGGAAAGGGAAAGACATCGTATTTCCAATTTGGAAAACCACACCCCATTTAGAGAACAAAAGAAAAATGTATCACCAAGGTGACATGAGATCTAACATTTTCATTCATAATCAAAAAAGCCCCATAAAGCTACCCTTAATATCTTTCATTTGCTTCATTATAACAAAAACAAACATTGCTTTGAAGACCATAAAAAGATTTGAGTTTGTTTAAGCAAAGAAACTTACACAAAAATGGTCAACTCTGCTCTGTAGGAGGTATCAAGAACAAGAATTAAACAAGATTTTTTTTCATGGGATCAATGAAACATAGAAAAAGGAAAATTGGGTTTTGACAGAAATGAAATATATAAGCCTTTTTGAAGTCTGGTAATGGCTGCTGTGCCATCCTTCTCTGCTTATATAGCACCCCCCACCCTAACTATAAAACTTAACTATAGTTAGTCTTCCGGGTTTTCCGGACTCTACATCCCTTTAACCATGGTTACTTTATATCATCAATCTGTCATTTACTTCAGTTTACTCTGTGTCTTTAAGCTTAACTTAAGTTCTTACAGTAGTAGATTAGAGAAGATTCTTCGCTGCTACAGACTTGCAGCAGCTAAAAGAGGAAAAGCAAAAGAAACGATCTTTTTTATGTTCAGTTCCAATTTACAAGTTCCCACTTTTCATATTGAAATTATCGTGAAAAGTTTTATCTGGAAATTCAAATCAAATATTTTTAATACTGCATTTTTTTTGCCTTTTTTTTATGAAAATTTTTTAATTAATTTTTATATAATAAAGATATAGTTTAGAAATAAAAAAATTATGAATATTAAATTTAAATAATTGGATGTTAATGTATAAACTAACCGAATTAAGTTACAAATTTTCATATGACCATTTTAATCAATAGATATATGTATTTTTCTCTTAAATAATTAAATTCAAATCACTCACCTCCATATTAAAAAATAAATCTATTAACAAATAATTTAAAAGGTAAACAAGTTATAGTTCATTAATAAAATATAGAACCATTGATCAAATAAAAACATTTTAATAAATTTTGTTTACTATGTTACCGACCGCATTTATAGCATTGCAACCTACGCTTAGGACAATTTGAAAAGCAAAAAAAAAAAAAAACCAAAAGATTTTAGAAATCATAAGACATTATTTTTAAAGATTGCGCTAAATGATTTGAAATCCAAAAAATAGATATATAAATATTATAATATAAGTTTATATTTATAATCATTTTATATTTCTTATTCAAAGTACAACCTCTTTCCCTTCATTCTGCTAGTCGAATGAGATTCAAGATTTTTTAGAAGGAAATTTGGAGCTCAACAGGCTGAGTGGTAAAGCAATACACCAGATGGCATCAGAAATATTGCTTTGTTTCACATCAATCTATAAATTAAAAAAAAAAAAGGTACCTGCCTCAAGCCATCAAGTTGAGTGAAAAGACTGGAAATTCACATTTGGCAAATCCCAATTGTATTGAAAAACCTTCATCATTCGTAGTAGTACTAGTTTCTGTCACAGCTACCACCTAGGCAACTTTACTTCCCAAAGGTCCAATCTTTGATAATGTAAACATCTTAGCAACTTGGGTTTTTCTTGAACTAACCATTTATGCTGAATTTCTCTGTTTTGAAAGGTGTACAATTTCAAAGCATTAATGTCTAGCTTTGTCCTGTTCTAAGAAATACCATAAATGACTAAATCAGCTATTAACTCAAGCAAACAATGACAAGCAGTTTTGGACCTAGTTATGTATTTCCTGTTTGTCACAACGAAATGAGTAGAGACCCCTCCCCCACCCCTCCCTTTCCCTTCATCATATCTCACCTGCACATTTGACATGTGGCATTTGTTGTCTGATTACTTTGTCTGCAAACAATGCCTTAGTTCTTTTCAGAGTCATTATCCAAGCACTGCCAATGCGTCTGAATTTCTGCTGATTAACCAGCCATCTTTCACAGTGAATTTGGAGGGAGAGAGGGAAGGGACCCTAATTGTAAAAAATTATTTCTCACGTGTCAAAAATCTTAATGGGGCATTGGATATGTGTCAGCAGATTAATGGGTTTGGGACAGAATCCTAAACCGTAAGGCCTCCAACACCGATGTCCATGTGTCAAGCAGCTGATGTGTTTCTAATGACAATGTTATTGCATTAATGTAACAAAAGTCTTGTCTCCATCACTTTTAATGAGACTCACTCTCTCTTCAATCCTTGGAAATTCCTTCATATCTGATGGATTGTTTCCTTGCCAAATGTAAGGAATAAAATGAAAAAGAAGAAGAAAATTGCAACTTCCCTTCTCTCTTTAATCTTGAGCATGAACTATGGAATTGTTACGTGAACATTGCTCTAGAAATACCTGATTGATTGTAGGACATTTAATTTTAGTTTAGACAATATTAAATGGATTACAAATTTAATTCATATTATCAGTAAAAAATTAACTTAATTAATAATATTTATTTATTTTGACGTAAAATTTTTTGATTAAAGTATAGTCAATAGTCTTTAATTGAAATTATATTGAATATATGATCTTCAATTATTACTTTTAAACTATTAAATTAAAAGATTAAATAATTCATCTATTGTTAGATTGTTTAAAAAAAATTAGTTCGAATAATTTTGACTTATCATTTAATATAAAAAAATTAAATTTAGACAATAAAAAAGATATATAATTAAAAAAAAATCATTAAATTGTATATGAAATTTCAAGCATCTTTTGCAAGTGCAATGTTGATATGTATGCATATCCAAGTTGTCTATCAGATTAAAATGCTCAAATTCTTACATTTGACTAAGGTTGACAGGGCTCATTAAATCAAATTGTTAGGCATTTCTAAAGTCTTGTTGACTGTAGTCTTTAGGGGGAAGCAGGCAAAGGCAAAAGATGATAACTACAAGAAACATCCAACATTAAGATTTTGTCTGGATATATAAAATTAAAAAAAAAAATTCAGGATCGTTCATTTATATTATATATATAAAAATTATCGATAAATTTATTAATTTTATAATATTTTAAAAAATTCCTTCAATCTTTTTCATCTCTAGGGTATCTTAAGGGATGAAATTGAGATCATTTTTTTTTATGCAATACCGGATTTGGTCTACATTTTATTAATGTTTAATTTAAAAAAATGTAGGTGGCATTTGGATCAAGTGAAAGATACAGCTACTATTTTTTATTTATTTTTTAGTGGTGTTGGGGAAATTTGACTGCTAAATTGAGGGATAATTTGTCTTTTGTTGCCTAACAAACCTAAAAGGTGTACTTGAAAATTAAAAAAAAAAAATCTTTATAATATCTTTTAACCATAAATATTACTTGTATGCATCATTATTCACATAATAACCTCTTTAAAGGGAAATTAAATGTACATAATTAATTTTCGGTTAGTCCAAACAAATTATAAGTGTTAAAATTTAAATTTTGAATTTATTAAATATTACATAAATTAATTAAATTAATTTATTAATTAAAATATTTCATTTATGATCCTAAAAAAAAGCATGAATTTCACTAAGTTTTTTCTTGTAAAAATGTTATTCGAAGATATTTTTAGGTAGTTGAAATTTTTATTTTTATTAATAGTTCTTAAATTATAGTAAAATATTTAATGTGATATTTACATTTTAAAAATTTTTAATATTATCCTTAAATTATTAATTTATTAACTAATTTAATACATACTCAAATGTAATTAATTTTAAATAATAATATATAATAAATAAATATTATTTAAATATTATATTAATTAATAAATTTATAATTTAAATATCACACTAAAAAATTTTAAAATTCTAATATTATGTTAAATATTATAATATAACTTTAAAAAAATGAAAAATATCAATGCAAAACAACTGGACAAGAAAAATATGAAGTAAAAGACATAAAATCTAAGCTATTATTATAGCAAAGGTGGTCCATTTTCATTTGATCAAAATTTCAAGCAATGCATGATTATTGATTCATTAAAGGACACATGTCACGAACCCACAAGCCCTAATTGGTTTGATTGGTTAAGTGAAGTAGTCATTATGATTATCATTCCCAATTAGACAATGACAGTCACATGAACTTTCAAAATCAGAAACTAAAATAAATTTTTTTTCTATGCCAAAAAAAAAAAAAAAGAAAATTCTCTGAATATACGTTGTCCAATCTCAATCATTGAAATGTAACATATGATAGCTTTCAAGTGAAAACAAACATGAAATTGATATACAACAAATTAAAAAAAAAAATTTCAAGTGATCAATTGGTTAAAGATCCACTAAAGATGTTTCTCACATTCTTTTAATGTTATTAGAAGAATCTGGGCGTTTGCGGATGAATTGGTGGCAAGCTGTAAGATGACGTCATAACTGTCAAATATGAAAACTTTAAATTTTAATACGTATAACTTTTTTCATATTTTAAAATTACTTTTTTTTTTAAATAAAAAATGGAAGGTTAAACTTAGAGCTTAGCTTTGGTTGAAACGGTCATATCCCACACATTAAGTATCCATTTTAATTTTACCTTATTTGATGGGATGTGATTGAGTTTATAATATGTATCATTATTTGAATTTAAATATAAAATTTAACAAAATTTATTTAATATAAAATTTTAATTAATTTTTTTTAATTTTAATAATTTTATTTTAATCATAACTATAGTAATAAAAATTATTATTTTTAATTTCATTGTAATTAATTTCGTTGTCAATTCAAATAGAGCTTAAAATATAATAAAAGATATAAATGATACATTAATATTTATAAATTATTCAGATTTGATTCAAATAAAATTTAAATTTAATTTAATTATTATCAAATTGAATTTAAATAACTTGATATATCGAACGAACTAAACTCAGATATATTAATTTCTGATTCAAATAATTAACAAATTTAATTAAAATTTTAAATTTTAACATATTTTTGTTATTTAAATTAAAAAATTATTATTTTATTTTTATATATTAATTCAAGCTCAAGCTCGAATTTTAATATACAATTGAGTTTAAAATTGAACATAAAAAATAAATTCAATTTTATTGAATAATTTTAATTGAATAAACTAAAATAATTTGATTTTTATTTCAAATTTCAATTTAAAAATTAAAAATTAGATTAAATTTTAAACAATAAATTTAATATTAAATTTAAAATTTTTATTATATAACTCTGCTCCATCGGATTGCATTCCTAACTTCGATACGATTCCAAAGAAAGATTATGTAGTATATAGGAAAAGAAAGAACATGAAAATCATGCGTTGGTATGAAAGGGAAGAGAGAAAAAGAAGGCAGGGCATGAGAATCGAGGAATGAGGAATCAGGGCAGGTTCTTTGAATCGCTTGAACTTCACGTGGGATGCCCATCTTTCTTCCGTTTTACGCTTTTTCTGGTGTTTTGTGACGTAGTCATGTTTGAGGTGCTTGGAATTGGAGTGGTGGGTGCTCTTATTGCTCAAAACCTCAACCTTTGATTCTGTTTGTTTTGGTTTGGTTCGGTTCGGTTCTTCTGTCGCACCTTCACCATTTCGTCCTCTACACAACACTCGAACAGCACTTGTCTGTTCGTTTGTTTGTTGCATCATTCAAGTTAAATGCATAGAGACATATCATAGATGTTATACCCATTCTTCCTTGTTGAATTGACATGCTACATCAAATTCAGTGATGCCATCGGTACAATGAATGAATTTTTAAATATATTAATATAATATAAAATATTGATAATTTATATATTTATATTATATTTTATATGAAAATTATATTTTATAATTTGTATTAATATAAAAATATAATTTTTTTAAATTTGTGAAACATATATAATTTTTATTAAAATTTTAAATTGTATTATTTTTATTTATTTTTGTGTTGTGTTACTATATTATATTTTAGATTATTATCTCTATTTTTAAATATTATTTATGATCATTTATAAACTTAATAAAAATATAAATAAATAAATAACATTTACAAAATATTTGTTGAATTTTTTATTTATTTGTATATAAAAAGGTCAAATCTTTTTAAAAAAATTAAGGCCCATGAAAATGAAAAAAATGAAGAGCCCAAATGAAATAAACAGGCCCAAATAAAACAAAGAATTCAAATGCAAACAAAGCACAAAGAAAATTCATGGAAGAACATGGGAAAAAAAAAGGTCATCTGAGTTCTGAGTTTGCTCTCTGAATTATTAGGGTTTACAAAAGGGTTTTGCAATCATCTGTTCCTTTTCCTTTTTGGGTTGGGCTTCTGTTGAAAGCAAGAACATGATGGTAAAGGAGGAAGGCAGCGTTGCAGCTGGGAAAAGGAAAAGAAGTTCGGGGAAAAAGAGAGGTAACAAGGCCAAGAATAAGAAGCTTAAGATGTTGGATGGTAAAGGAAAAAAGCTTAGAGTAAGTAAAAAAATGAGAAATCTGTTTGAAAAACGAGCCCGTGAGTACAATTCCGATGATGAGGAGGAGGAGGAAAAGGAAAACACGGCGGAGGAGGCTGCCCTGGCAGATATACGGATGGGAGGCGGCGCAGATAATTCTTCTGAAGAAAGTGACGGTTCAGAAGAAGAAGGTGAAATTCAACCTGGGATTATGAAGTTTACAGAAGGTGTTAGAGCATACAGGTTGGCATTTAAGAATATTTTAAAGAGGAATGTGGCTGATGATTCATTGGTAAAGCTAGTTTCTGAACTTGGGTCTTTTTCATTTTACAAAAAAAAAAATTTTTCATAAATTTCATAGAGTTGTTTTTTTTACAGGGTCCAGTGCTATCAGGGCATAAACAACTTGTTGCAAAGAAGCTAGCTGAAGAGGAAGCTGAAAGGAAAGTCAAGGGAGAAGCTAAGAAAGAAAAACATTTGGTATTTTCCCTAAAATCATACTAATTATGTTTTTGCTGTTGCTGTGCTATTTATTTATGTGCTATTAATGTTACAGGTTGCAGAGAAGGGGCATGTGAAACCTGCTAATTACTTAGATTCACATGAAAAGTTCCTAATTGGTATTGCTACAAAAGGAGGTAATGTTTGTTTAGACCATTACATATAATATAAGCTCATTTCATATTCTTTCTCTTACTAATTAAGTTTTATTGTTTATGTGTTGCCGGCAATTTCAGTGGTGAAGTTATTCAATGCAGTAAGTTGTTTTATGAAAGCCCCATCTCTTTTTTACTGTCAAACATTAAGGTCTTTGATTTTGTTTTGTTATATTGTTAGTTATTAATATCAAATGTGGTGGTAATATGTTGTTCCATATATCGTGTAGGTGAACAAAGCACAAAAGGCTCAGAAAGGATTGGACCCTTCAAGGACTAAAGATGCGAAAGGTATGCTGATTTCTACAGTTATAAGTTTTATTTATGATTGAACACTTGAAAGCAAATTTTTTGGATTATGTTCAATGTGCAAAAATGCATTATCTGACATCCTGGCTACCAAGAAACTCCTGTTCTAAATCCCAAAATTTAGGCCCTGTTTTGGCATTTGACATTTTAAATGACTTGAAATGCTTGTTCTTCACTTTTTGCTCACCTAACTTCTTTTGCAGTTGTGTCTAATATTCTTTATAATCAGATCCATGAGAAAAATGTGATATAATTATCAATTTATCAGTAGACAAGCATCCCATAAGTTTGTTTGTTTCTCAGTAATTCACCTCACTCTGGACTGCATGACTATTGTATATATACATATATACGCACACTATTGTCATTTTTCTGTGATCGAATGGTGCATAGTTTATGCTTTCAAACACTTAGTTTTGAAGGATAAAACATAATCATTACTTCTAAAAATGCATAGGAGTAAACATGTATCTTTCTCCTATATCTGCGGCAAGATCTGATCAAATTGTTTCGGAGGTACTTTTGATGCTTATAGAAACTATATTTTCAGAGCTATGCATGACATACAAATGAAAAGATTAAATAGATTTTGTTATAATTGAGTCAAACATTTTATGCCTTTGAAACCCTAGATTTAGAGGCTCAAATATGATCTAGGTTGTTATTATTACTATTACTTAGATGCCTCACAGTACATTTTTATTGACTTATGTATTTTATTTATATATGAATGTGAATGCTTATGGTACTTAAATTTGCTGCTTTTAAAAGATTACTGGAAAATTTTTTTTTACCGATGGATAACACTGGCAAGGTGATTACTACATTTCTTGTTCAGTTTTTGACTTTTTATTTTATGCATCCTGCTAGTGATAAGGAAGCGAAGAAAAGAAGCCTTCTTTTCAGAGCTAGGCAAGACATCATTGCCGGCATGCGACTCTTCCAGTAAGGTTGGTTATTTTCTTTACTATTTTACGAATTTCTTCCATCATGCTATGTCATTCCATTTATCCTCTTGTTTTCTTTAAAGCATTGTCATCAATATACTAAAATTTAGTATATATGTCCATCGATTTGTCTATGCTAACCTACATAAGATTTATGTAATTGGGCTTATAATTTGCTGGGAACTTCACATTAATTGCCTTTTTAGTTGTTCGTTTGGATTCTGCAGAAATATTTTACTATATTAGCTTATTCGGTTTTATGACATGCAGGGTAATACGTCGTCTGATCCGAGGAATGATGAAGAACCTGCTTGGGCTCCATTGCGTGATAATTACATGCTAACAAATCCCAAATTGAAGAACTGGGATAAAATGGCGGTAAGAATGTTCATTGTTTTGAACTTTACACAAGTCATGTCCCTGTCTTTCCTCTCACAGACATAGACATCTGATTCTAACATGCATTTATCTATTTATTTGGTTAACAAATTTTGTCTGCGGTTTGCACACAGGACTCAACAACAGCTGATGATGTTGGAATGATGTCTGAAGATGGCGGTTCAGATGATGATTGATATCCTTTGAACTTAATGAGCTTAAGGGAGCCTTGTTACAACACATGCTGTGTAATGGTTTAATTACCATTGCTACATGAGAGGCAAATGCAGCAGGTGCATAGAATTGGCCTATGAATTAATGGTTTTTTTTTAGCTGATGATGTGTTCCACCAGGAAGCTAGTGAAATCAAACCAGAATTCCAACATATTTTATTTTAATTATTAAAAATAAAAAACATGAAAAATTTTCAACATACCTGTGTTCATGTCAAAAAACATGAATATTGCAGCATAGGTAGAGAGGAAATCTTCAAATTCTGTTCACATTCAGTATGGAAGGATGAAAGAGTAATAGAAAATATATATATTTGTAATTTTTATAAGTTAATAATGCACACGATTTTCTTCCTAAGTGCATATGATTAATCCTGTGCTGTACATGTCCACCACAAGACAAGGATATTACAACTGCATGTTTCTTGTCCGACCTAGCAACTGTTACTCGGGCAGACATTACAACTCTCTCGACTGCACATACGGAGAGATCTATGCTATACATGTCAAATAGAAAAAAAAACGAAGAGCAAAATTACAGCTGCATGCATTTGCCTGTGACTTGACATTGTAGGTTGGGGCATGTCATGACAGCAGAAACAGTAGCAGCTTTTATAGAAGCGCTGGAACAGCTGGAGCTTTTATATAATTGTCAGCCAACACTGAGCATAAATATGGCTTGGAGGACCAAGAAGCATTCTTCTTACCATACTAAAAAATAAATGAGCAGAGCAGGTGAACTCGCTCAAACGTTATATGGCCGGCGGAAACCCACTGGGCTTGGCGGCAAAGGCGATTTAGGCAGATCTTGCCTGATGATGGGTGTCGTGATCCATCAATCTTTTTATGGTAATGGAGAAACAGGCTTCAAGGCAATTTATTCATGGCATTTTCGTATCCAACTTCTGATAAAAACCTGGAGCCCCTGTGATACAACCACACAGCCAGTCATTTAACCAGATAAGAGAAAGTATGAGCATCAAATTCTCCATTTTTAGGTAAGAATAACCAATTCTTTCCAACTAACATCTTGTGTTTCTTTCCTTTTTCAAAGCATGGTTAAAAAAATTGTACTCTCAGCAGGTGCTGGTTTGGTTCAACGGATCATAATCATAGGCATCACCAGCTTTGACAAAGCGTCCTTTCACGCGCTTTCTCACGTCGGCCCTTGCTTTGCGAGAGGCATATCTCACTCGCTTCTCAAACCTATCATGCAACAAGGACGAAGTTAAACATATAACTTCCTCCAATAGGTGGAAACAGTAAAATAAAACGTTAAGACGCACAGTATAGAATTTATATCGACTTTCCAAATGGATTGCTGATAAATATACACAGATGCACACACAGGAATGCAAATCCACATTTCCTTACTAGAGAGCACCATAGTGAAACAGACTCCTTCAATGGCAGGAATAGTAACTATAATGCACAGCTTACCGATTACTATACTGAGATACAATCATACTAGTAGGATCACATATGTTAAAATGATATAGACATGATATTTTTTATTTGGAGGCATGTGAGTTCTGTTACTTGCTCTTGCATAGAAATGCACACAGCTAAATGAAACTTAAAAGCACATAGAGAAAGTTCATAAGAAGAAAAAATAGAAAGGGCAATAGAGGAACAAGAACTAACGACATGATTGTCTATAAGTAAACCATATACTAAATCGACAGCCATAGAACTAGAAATTGAGATGCAGAAGAGGAATTAAAACGAAGAACATCTAAATTCCAAAATTTGTAAAGCAAGGAGCACTAAAACTACAAAGTCATCAACCTAATAACTATATCTAAAGTGGTCTAAGTATAACATATGTACATTTTATATACATTTTACATACTTACTTCCTTGTCTTCTTCTTTTCCTTGTAACGCATTACAGCATTGCTTCGAGTAGCTGATGGGAAGGAGCTCTCAGTACATGGAGGACACCAAGGAGGCTCTCCCATGAGAAGCATTGACGAAGCCCCGCAATCTTGGTAATCTCCTGCACTACTCTCTCCAGTAAGGCCAGAAAATGAGAGGCTTGAATGGGCCTGCCTTGCAGTAAAACAAAGAAATGAATCGGTTTTATTGCTCATTATGGAATCAGCAGATGCCGCATTACTGGATGCTGGCTGGATTGCATTGATCAGTCCAACAGATGAGCCCTGGACAAGGATATTTAGTTACGACCATAAGAGCACTTGCCAAGCACAAACTTGAAATTCTCGGGGGTTGGAATTATGGAATGATTCTTTACAGCATGACTGCTAAGGGAGATAAAACAAGCATGTAATATCCAAGCACATTAAATTGCCAATGTCGGTAAGTAAAATGTTGACACATACATAATTTACAAGAAAAAACTGATTTATTGATAATCAAGATGACACTGAAAGATCAAGTGTTAGCATATTCGCAAACTTGAGGAATCCATAATCTCATCACCAATAGTGGCAATATAATCAACACTGTCAAAAGAGTAATCAAAATTCGGAATGAAGACCCAGCAAATGGAAGGATAGTAAACTTCCTTTTGGTACATTGGTCATGTCTGAAAATCAAGGTTATTATGTTCCTATAGATACTAACAACCCAAGTAAAAAAGGATATTTGCCTCTGATCACTACGCAAATTGCAAAATGAAGATGCTGATGTGGAAGGAAGGTAAACTTCATTTTGGTACATTTGTCATGTCTGAAAATCAAGGTTATTTATGCATTGATAGCCCCATCAAAATGAATAATTGCCTTTATGTAACAGTATGGAAAATCTAGTAGAAAAAAGAACAATTACAACATACAGAACTTGTACATTACCAACAACCAGAACTCGCACCCCATTCATCAAATTAAAACTTTTCTCAGTACTTTATCAAAACTTTTTTTTTTCTCTATTTTAATTAGGCAAGGAATGCTTCCATTTTCACATTAAGAAAAAAACTGATTGTTGAAATATGCTATATGCCATACAAACCATTTAAGAACACATGCAAAAAAATTAACATCAAGAAAAATGGCAAAACTATCATCACAAAAAGACAATACAGACACCACAAAGAAAGATCAAAAGAGATGAGAGTACCTCAGCAGCCACTGCACCCTGACAGTTGGAATCAGCAGCAGACATGTCCTTCGTCCCGAATAAGCTATCAATTCCACCATTCTCAAAAAGTTCTTCTGAATGATTGAGAGTTACCCCAAATAGTTCTTCATAATTTTCAAGGTTCAAATCAACTTCATCCATGTTGAAGTCATCATAGAGATCATCTTCACAAAGTGCAGGACACTTTGTTTGAGGGCAACATGACTGCAAATTTAATAAAGTAAAAATTAGCAAAGATTCCCAAAACGGAATATATTATCTCTACTAATAATTAAAGGAAACTCGTGAGAATTTTCAACAATAGATCTTTCACGAATATGTTAAAAATGAATTTGGAAAATCTAATGCTAAAATATTATAGAATTACAAATAACAAAAGGTTATTTTGATCACTTTTTTTTATGATTAAAATGAAATCTTGATAACTTCCTAGACCTCAGCCAACTTCCCCATTTTTTGTGTCCTTCACTTTCACACTCCCCTTTTCCCTCTCAATTAAAAAAAAAAGAGATAAAACTACAACCACGTACACAGGTGGCATTAGCCTGGATTCAAAAAGTCCATGTGTGTGTAAAATAGGAGAGATATGGATTACAAACTTATGAACCCACGGAAAAAATAGGAATAAGATGTCTCTACAAATATAATAAAGGGTGAGGTTCTGATTTAGTGATCATACTGTGAAGGCCTCACTAGTTGTTCTCTAAAACATCACCCTAAAACTTAAGTTGCTTTTGGGCAAGAAATAGAAATATCTAAAGGTCTACCATTAAAAATGCAAGCTGAATACAGATTCATGGTATAATGTAATTTTACTGAAAGATTGACATCTTTTACATTTAGTATGCAACCATGAACACACAAAAACCCAATCAAGTTCAAGTAAAAAGATATTTTAGATGGACCTTTGATTTCCACTATAAAATGTTATCAAGAAAAGCAAGGAACGGAACTGGCATATAGTTCTGCAGAAGGAACTAATCTGAAAAAAAAAGTTGTCACTTTAACCTCATGCTTGTTCTCGTAGAAGAAAGAACAGTTATTACTGAACACTCACTGTTAATATTTTTTTAGTATTAAGTGCGATGCCAGAATAAATTTGCAAATATAAACCTACTTCATTGAAATGCTTATCATAGTTCTTTAATGTTGCCCCATGAAACTCAGATACCAAGGACTGAAAGTACCTCAAGAACAGTTTATCCAGATTCTTTAATGCTAAATATTCCAAATTCATCATTTACCTTGGGCAATAATGTATCTGTTAATCCAGCTGGCAGATCTAGAGCTTGTGGTGCAGATATGAGTTCTGGAATTGAAGAAGACCCCCCCCAGCCACTGCCCTTATCCACATTGTGGTCATCATAAACTTCTGCAACACCAGTACCATTCTGGCTAATGGTGTTTTCTGTAGGGCCCCAAGAAGTCCTCTCTATGTTCTCGGTGATGCTCATTAGACCTAATTCCTGCTCACAAGTAGATTCACCCGGTGAAGAGGATTGCAACAAAAATGGCCATATGGAAGAAAGTTCTGCAGATGATGGGCAACCAGTGTAACAATTAATTGTTTGCCTCTTATGTGTTGAATTCGAGGTGGAGGTACCATGACCCATCCAATCACAGTTCAGACAGAGGGAAACCCTTTCTTCTGCACATCTAACAAATGCAGGCTGCGAGTTGCATCTGTCACATAACAATGTTCTTGAATGGCGTCTTGACAGTGCATTAGCAGAATGGACATTTCGATCACATGACAAACATAAACAGGCGGCATCAGACCGGCAATATACCACCGACCTTTGATCCCCACAGAAATCACAATTGTAGCCCATGTATCCAATCACTAGTCTTAAAACTTTTCTCAAAAATTTAAGGACTTCTAAGCAGACTATATACCAACCAGGCTAGCTTCTTAGATGATCCCTGACTCTGCTATTTCTTCTTGCACTTCAATAGCTGTCACATATTGGGAAAAGAAAGATTGCAGTTACAAGAAAATTCAGTTCTTGGTTGATCTAAAAGCAAGTAATCAAAAAGAAAATAGGAATATCAACTGAAAAAAGGTTATATGGAGATAGCTTCATTTACTTCAAATTTGCTCATACAATAATGATACAGCAACAGGGTAAAATTCTAGAAGACACTGTAATCATAGACGAGTTCACATGATCTGCACTGTTCAAGGGTAAAAGTTTTCTATTTTCAATAATCACAGCAAAAAAGTTAACAGTTTTAAGCACTGTGAAGCAAAAAGAAAACAAAAAATTATCGACAACACGAGGATGAGTAAACCAACAAAACACACAAACACAACAGAATAAATAGGAGAGAAAAAATGCCTCATCAAAATTTAAAGAGTCATCCATGACGACTACAACAGTCAAAATAAAATAAGAAAATAAAGAAAAAATAAAAAAAGAAATAATCTTTTTGTTTAATAAAAGCAAAAAGCAGGGGAGAGAGCATTCCTAGAACAGAATTATAAGCAAAATTGATTACATTTTAAGGCATGTAAAATACCAGAATCAAATATCAAAAAAAGGAAAAAACTTTATCATAAATCAAATAAAAATTAGAACTTTAAACCAAAGAATTAAACTCCATAATCAAAATAAAAAACACAAACAAACAGATTAAGCAAAAAAACAGAGGATCTTATACCAACAAAGAAACCCAGAAATACTAACAAAAAAAAAGTAAATCTAAAACCCAGAAATAAAATCAAAATTAAATGAAGAAGAAAAAACACCCAGAAAAGAAAATCAAATTAAGAACTATAAAAAAAGAGAATAAGAAATTTACCATGAGGACAAAAAAAAAAGAAAAAAGAAGATGACAAGATCGGTTGGTAGCTTAATATTAAAATTGAAAATTTATTGAAAAAATTTTACGAGAAACCCTGGAACAAAGAGCTTTCCAGAATTTCTCTTTTTTTTCCTCTGATTCTTTTTTCTTTTTTTGCTCTGTTTTTTTATTTTTCTTCTCTGTTTTGAGTTTATGTAAGTGTAAGAGATAGAAATTGGTGGGTGTAAACAGGGAAATGTGATGACATAAGCTGATAAAAAGTGCAGAGAGAGAGAAAATTAAATATTAAAAAATTGAGAAAAATTAAAATTAAAAAAATATAATAAGTAAATAAAAATAAATAAGAAGGGCAAAATGGGAGAGAAAAAAAAATGGGGCCCTTTCCTTTTCAGTCGTGAAAGGAAAAGTTAGGCCCTTTCTTTTTCTTCCTATAAAAAATTCCAATTCCACGTACGAGAAAATCTTTTAAATATTTTTGATGTTGCTAATTTATACTAATAAAACCTTGAGATTTATGGTGCTAATTTTTTATTTTTTTAAAATTTAAATTGAAAACCTTGAGATTTACGAAATAAAAAAGAATGATTTTTTTAAATAATTAAAATTTATATTTAATATATTATACTGTTTATTTTTTACAAAAATCTTGCACATGTATATAAAAAGAATATTTGTTTTATTATTATTAGCTCTTTTGAGAACTTGGCAGCTTCTAAAAGGACCTATAAGGTGGGAAATGATGTCTGTATTTCTTTTTTTTTTTTTTTTTGATTTGTGATCAACTAAAACCTTAAAGCACCATCCACTTATTTTCTGGAAAGATCTTCAACTTGTGAAGGAGGCAAGTTTTGCTACAGATCCAATTATATAAACCAAACTAAAAAGTGAAGCCAAAGGTATGCTTCAATAATAATAATAATAATAATATTCTTAATACCACTTTAATATTATCATTTTATGTTTATATTAATATATTTCTAATGTTGTTATAAGTTATTAAAATAAAGTCATATAAGTGTAAAAGAAATATCTAAAAATATCAACATTTAATATCTATAAAAAAGAGTTAAAAAAGATTTTAAACAAATAAAATAAGAGGAAGATGCTAGTAAACAGTAACTATTTATTCAGATAAGGCATTCGTACGTAAGGAGCCAGTTGGATGCACACAGAATAGACATGTGAGATTCAACCCACAAAAGTGCTTACCCTTTTTCCATATTTTAATCCCAAATACCCAAACTGCCCTTCCCTCTCCCATCATTGGAAGTCCTATTATTTTTAAATATTAATTCACGTGTCCCCACCATCACCATTTTCTTTTTTCCTAAATTTCTAAATTCCTATGATAATTACTGTGCACTTTTTCATCAATTAATAGGGAAATGTTGACTGAACAATCCCAGGAGGTTTAACACCTAACCACCGCCACCAAGAACCAACCTGAAGCTGAAAAGGAAAACATAAAACAAAGAAAAGAAAACCTTTTTGTATGAAGAACCAAAAGTTGCCCGGACTCAGCTTTTGATTCAAGCTGTGAATCAGAATCTGAATGTAACAGTGTTTTGTAAAATTTTTTTTTTTTATGGTGAAAAATATTTAGGAGCAGAGGAGGTTCTCTCCTCTCCAAACCAAAACAAATCGTCAACCACAAGGGAATTTGGAATCCTTTGAGACTTTTCAGGCTAGGACAGTGAGAGTTCGAACCTAAATGCTTTGTAACCAGATCCTAAACCTTAATCACTTGTGCCAACCCCTATTGGGTGTTTTGTATAATTTTAGCAGGATAAAGCTGAATAAATGCTTAAGTGAAGTTGACCCAATCAAAATCAAGAGAGTTTTTGGTATGAAAGAAACAGCTTATCCTCTTGATCAAACCTAAGAGGATCAGAAAACCCTTTTCTTATAGGGGTAGATTTTCTCTCTTTCTTTCTGTTTAAAGACAGGAAAAAGCATGGGGGGTTTTGCTTATCAAACTTGTTGGACCCAGAAACATGGGCTGCTAAAAAAACTGAAACTGCTGCATGTGGCAGTTTTGTACATATCCAAACAAGTTCGCCAGGGTACTATATATGAACAGAGATACAGCCCAAATTCACATTCAAGACATCTTCAACTTTTGTGGGAAAAACATTAATTCAAAGACATACAATGGCTTAAATGGTCCACAACACGTAAATCAGGTGGTCCAAGTATTTACGATATCAAATAAGAATGATGTAGACAATTAAACAACTAAATTTTATTTCTCACTTGGGAACTTTTCTTTTTCAAAGCAAGAGATAAGCTAACCTCATTAGCAGGGCAGGGATCTCGTTACGTTTCTGAAAAACACTGTCCAGGCTGTTCAAAATGCTGCACTTTGATCCGTCCACAACACTGGGGATGAACATGACCATGTATTTCTGAAACATAAATAAGCTGATTCCTTCACTAGCATTGGCTCTTTCTGTACTGTGTTAGTCCTCAACCATTAATAAGACTAGTCAGAAAGAACAAACAGCCAAACAACCAGAAAAGCACCGGGGAGGTGGTAAGGGAAAAAGATGAAAATATTAGCCTGCATTTAATGGCGACAGCTTTCAAGTATTATCGAGTGCATTTCACTTCAAAGTCGGTGCATTCAGATAAACTGGCTATTTTAAGGTGCTCCAGTAGAAATATTTAGGGAACCACAAAAAACTGTTCCACAAATTTGAGAACAAAATCTAATCTACCATTTACTAAAGATAACAGGGAAAGTCGTCACCTTTGTAGTACGTTTACAAAGAAACAGAACATAATGCTCAAACAACCGATGGAGAGAGAAACTCCTAATTGTTGGTGTCCTTTCTGTCTTCTTTAAGATGTTAAAAAACCTCATTACCTGCCTGAAGATTGCATCACCTGAGAAACACACCTACATAGCCTTATAATCCTTGTGTATCCAGCTCTAAGGTTCCCAACTGCAGCTTTTATTTCAGCTGAGAGTGGCAGACGCTGCAAGTTTTCTGTCCCAGCAGTGGTAGTCTGTAAATGATAAGGCAGGATCTCTGAAGGATAAACCCCACTAAGAAAGCAAGAGGCAAGACAAGTCAGTATAATTATTTGACAAATTACAACAAAACATATCTGCCTTGATAACTATTGATGCGTAACGTAATATTTTACAATGATGATAGCACATACAGCAATGAGCAGTCACCCCAAAATGTCCAGAATTAATATCTATATATTTTGATAATTACAGGATCTAATTGAACTTGTAAACAATCGTTATCTAAATTTCACTCGTGTTACAATCTGAACCACAACTGAAGAAAATGTGGGCGTAAAAAGAGCTGATTGCTGATTGCACTTTCATGGCAGGAGTTAGGCAAAAGTTACATTAATTGCTTAGTACAAAAGTTAGGCAAGCTAAACTCAGATTCTAAGTATTATCTGACCATTTCAACTAAAAATATTTTTTATTGGAGAAGAAAAAAAGAAGACTAATTTGAAGTCTAAAATAATTAATGAACCAAACCAATCCATAGAAACTACATTCAAATCAATATAATGTACAAATCAATTACAAACTCTTTGCAAGGATCAATGCTCTGGATATATTATATTTATACTGTTGTTACAAATTAATCAATTCTTCTTAGAGCATAAATTTCTTAACCACATAAAGGATTATACATCCAATCCGTGCAATTCAGCTATAAGATAAAGCATCAGATTTGCAAAATACTTAATATGTTAAAAAGTAGAAAATACAATTTATGCAAGACTTTACCAGCTCAAACACATCATGTCAAGAGTCATTAGCAGCTTTACACCACTGTCAAAATCAGTGAAAGCAAGCTGCAAATCCAGCTGCTTTGCTTCAAACCAAGGAGGTGCTATCAAGATTCAATCTGACAAAATATGTTCTTTCAGGAGACATAAGACGTAAAACTGGACAGACAAGAGAGAGCTGGGGGTAGGTTTTGTGTATATGTTTAGTAAATGCAAATATGGCAACTAAGCTGAGCCAAATGAGCATTCCAACACAGAACAGGTTATTTAGCAAATTGATATTACAATGATTTAGGATTTAGGACAGCCAAGAAACTGAGGGATTAATTCTGTTAACATACTAGCTAACTGCATAGATAATAAGTCATAATTCATACCGGTTCTAGAAATCAAGAGGCAGATGGCAACTAGGACACTCAACAAAGATTCGACTTTACCAAGCCATGAATGGGCTATGCCCAAACCTTGTTACAACCATACTGTAAATAAAAGTAATTGGATCAGAGATGAGCATTAAAACTTAGAATGGCCTTGAATCAATTGTCATTAAGATGCTTTACCTTGAGTATGTCCAACTCACTGAAGAAAGAGCTAAGGAAATAAAAAACTTTACAATCATTAGTTTTATGACTGTATATCCTACCGCTAGTAAATAAAAACGAGAAAGCCCAAATTGCTAAGCTCCATTCCAATAAATAAAAATTAAAAAACAAAAGAATAAATAAGATAGTTTCATGGCACAATAAACATGCATAGACTTCAAATGGCATTACATCAAACAAGAAGTGTGATCTAGTCATCCATCTCTACTTTGTTTGCCTGAAGAAAAGAATCAAATTTCAAATTCTCTAAGCCATTGATCAAGAATTTAGACCATGTCATCACATTCGCAAAGCCAGAGACATAACAAAGGGACAAAGAGTACCAGATGGAGAATGAAAGCTAGTTAGTGTCAGATTTCTAATCTCTATCCGTCTATCTGTACTTCCTCAACCACATCAAGCAGATTTCTTAAAAGTGAACTGGTCCTCTGCATAATCAGAACAAAATAAAGTGAATATAGTTTCAAAGATTGCATTTATCCTGAAACACTGAAATTTCTGACATAATAAACATAGTGCACCACAAACAAATATAAAGTAAAGTTGAACAAACTAGGTTAGAGCAAAGGTAACTACAAGAAAACACATAATCACTTGCTCAGAACTTGAAATATGTACTATAGCTTCATTCTGGCACAGCCGTAAATCAAAGCATAAACATAGAATACTTTTCTGATAGAAATTAAATTGAAATAATTTGTTTTACCTCAGAAGAGAAAAGTAGGAGACACAAGCAATTATGAGACAGAAGTACTTACTTGAGTTTCTTGTGCCAGATTTTTGGGCACAGCATATTTCTTAGTGTATTCATGGTTAAAGACGAAAGCAAATGCAGAGCAAGCATCCATGTTTGGGAAGTTCTAATGAACAAGATCAAATTTCAGATATCAGTATGGCAAATGAAACAAGGAAAAAAAGATGACTGCATTTAAATGGTTGACTTTGTTACCTTACTGATGTTTATATCATTCAATTTGTTTGCAACAAAAATGCTTGAATTTGGACCAGTGTTTAATGTGAGACTGCAGATCATAGAAATGTACAAATAAATGTAAAACTTTTCTGACATAAACAAGTCTTGGTCAAAGAAAAATACATTATAAAAAGAAAACCTCCGACTGATGAACTCATGGTAATTGAGAACAACATTGTGACGGCCATTCCTATTCTGCAAATCAACCTCCCACAACTGATGAAATAACAGAAAGGTTATACTTCAGTCACATAAAATAAAATAATTTCAATGTGTCTTGAGAAGAATAACAGCAAGAGTTAAACAGACCTGCATATACTGACATATAAATCTGCAGCAAGTTCTTTTCTTTAGATGATCATTAAGCAATTCAATGGTATCAGAACAACTCGGTTCTCCTTTTATCTTGCAGTAAATGTAAAATGACTTGGTTAAATTTTTTATTTTCTTTTCCAGAGCTTCAGCCTCATGCTTCATTGTGGTTACTTAATCACTGGCTCCCTGTCATGATACAAAGAAAACTTAGCATAAAAGCCAAAATATCAATTACCAATATCTTTTAAAACAATATAAGAGGCATGAGAAATTTAATTGTAAAGAGATAGCATGAATAATAAAAATAGAATACTGATTTAATTTGTAGCTGACGGAATGCTAATAGCATCATTCAAAGCAACAGATGTAAGAGTTCTCCACATATTGCCTCTGGTATGCTTCATGCTGAATGTTAGTAGTGGTTCTCAATATATAGAAGACAATTCCCTAAAACATAAAGATATTCTTTTTATTATTTCGAACAATGACATGGTATGTATATCATGCAAATATTTTTATTCAAACTGAAGACATATAGATTATGTAATCATCCAAAAAACTATGATATCATACTCGAAATAAAGTAAACTTTTAAGAAAATGTGATCCAGAATCTTCCAACAAAATAATTCTAATTTTCTTCATCATTGAGATATCTTAAAAGGTTAAGAGGAAAATAGCTACAATTCCGCATCCAATTTAGTTCGAAATATGTATAAGCCCATAAATATTGTTTATACCAGCTGCGACAACAGTAAATATGATAGATACATTAAAAAAAATAGTCAGGGATAATTCTTAGCCTCTAAAAATGCTTTGACAGAAATCAAAACACATTATTACAATGAAAATTAGGAGCCATGTGAACCCAAACCCAATGTGGGTTTCATGTAAAATAAAACACAGTTTCACAGTTGTATTGCATAATGTTTATCTCCACAGCAGTAACTTTTTCCTTTTTAACCATTTGAGTATGCAAATTAAAAAAGATGAAATCCATAATAACAAAAAGCAGAAAAATGGAGGCCACCAGCCTTTATAGCACCAAAGGACATACCGAATAGATCCACATATTATAACTGATGAGCATACCTCAAATTTAACTGAACATGAATTATTGTCAGGTTGAGTGTCCTTGTCAGCTGAAACAGATGGACGCCTGACGCAATTTAACTTCAAAATTTGAGATTCCCGAACTCCGGTTCTCAGTAACTGTACCTGTTTCTACATTGAGGAATGTAGGCAGGTAACAAAGAATAAGCATTTGAGCTGAGTAAAAACAAAAAGGGAAAGGGAAAGGAAAGCAAATACCAGCAATCTTTCGCGCTTCACATGCATCAACTGCAATTTAGCCTTTTCATAGACTAATCTGCAGAGCAATGGTCTTGTTTCAGCAACTCTGCGAGGACATCATTTCAGCAATTTTACCACTTGTAATGCTAAACCAGTTTCCATGATAATTACAGAAACCAATATTAGTCAATTCATGATAAAGATGTAAGGGTAGAGTGGAACCACCTCTTATACCAAATATTGCTGGATTGATCATTTGCCTGCCAGCAGCAATATAAAAGAGCGGTATCAGCAATAAGATAGTCTAGTTTGGTTAGCGTAGGGGGAAGCAACAGAGAACCCCTGCAAAAAAAAAAAAAAGTTGGCAATTTTACTTACTAAACATAGCTTGGATTGGATTTCAGAACAAAGCAACTCTAATATATTAACCTTCTGCTTATGAAGCAATATATCTTCCAACATGTTTATCTGGACCAATTATTGAGGCAAAGCACAAAAAAAGGAAACTATCACATGGGAATTTAGATTATGAAAAGATGTTACTGGTATTTATAATCTGCATTTGAAACATATCGTAACAAATGCAGTAAATTTAGAAAAACAAGGTATGTACCACTTCTATATTTAGTTTATCAAAACATGGAGATAGTAGCTGATTTGCATCTGCCGAAAGTTTAAGAGAAATCTGCAATATAAGCTCTATAAATCAAATTCAACAGGAAGGGTAACAGGAAAATTTTGCATTCTATATCAGCAAACCTGGATGTGCAACAAATTAGCAACACAGTACACATACATAAGTCCAATTCATCGATGTTTTGCCACCTTCAACACTTTCATTTCCTATGTTGCTTCCATTCAAATATTCCAACATATGCTCCATATTTTTTTCTCCCATGTCATGAAATTTTGGACTCTGCTGGATATAGTTTTTTTTATCTGCAGGGTGCACATCTGCAAGAGCTACTTCTTCACTTGTCCTTTTTATTTTTGAATAGTTCTGAATGTCTTGGACAGGACTTGGATTCTGCACAGGTCTTTGATGACAGTCATCAATCCTTTGTACGGTTGAACTGCAGCTAAGAGATACCACATCTTTTGCAACAGAGCATTGCATATTATCACCATGTAATGCCCTATACAATTCTTTCCCACAGGGGCTCCAACTTGGCTCTTTTGAAGTGGGACTCTGAGTTTGCTTCTTTCTGAAGAGGCTCTAAGCAATAAAATTTACGTAACGTGAATTAAGAGATAGGAAACACTCAGGCTAGTATTAACATAAAAATAAAAATAAATAAAAAAAAACAGAGCAAAAATTTGATCACAGTAGGCTGCAATTGAGACTAAGAGAAGACAGAGAAAGATATATACCTTTCAAGGCGAACACTCATTTTTACTTCTATGTGCATCTGGGGAAGCATAAGCAGAAGAAACTTTCATCTGTTCCTCAATAAAATTTTCACCAGACCGGGTTATTTCAATTGCAGTCTGGATGTTTTTCTCTGAGCTTCCCCACTGCAGTTTCAGGGGAACCTCACCAGGGAAGTTCCTCAAGTTTTCGGAAGAATTCTGCAAAGCAAGTCCATTACTTTCTCTTTCATCCGCCCTTTTTACTATAGAAGAGTCCATTAAATGGTTAACCATAACAACTGGTGCACCAGACTGTGTTCGGTTTTCAGCTGTTCCAGTTAAATAGTTACGCTAAGAACTGTTACTACTTATTTGCATTCCTGTCTAGAATCAATAATGATGCTGTTATCCTGATCTTGAAGCTTTAAATTGCCAGACAGACGGCCTTGATGTTCTGTTGGTGAACACAAGTTCTCATTTAACCTATTCACAAGTGGAGAAACAAGTGTATAAGGTGTATCAACATCTCTCTTATCCTTGCTAATTTCAAGTTTGATCTCCATTAGTGAGGAATTAAATATGGAAGCTACTAGTGTCCCATCTACAGGATCTACTGTTGTCAAAGAATGAAGGATCAATTTCTTTCCTGAATGAGTGCACTGAGTAGGTGAAGTAATTTTGGCCATTCTTTCAGTAGATTTGTCATTATGTTCTTTATCTTTTGCAAGTTTTGTTGTCCCTCCATCTTGGCTCAAAGTAATGATGTTTTTTGGAGTTCCAAGACCATTACAATCCATTTTTCCCTGCTTCAGATCAACACCAGATAACTGCTCCTCTAGATTAATAGTGGGAACAGTTGCCTGTTGGCACTGAAGACCCTCACTCGGTTCCTTCATAATTGTATTGAATGAACAAGCTCTAGAACAAAGGGACTCTGACAATCTGAGTTTAGATTTTACAATTCCATCATTGAAAGCGGAAGCAGAAGTAGAAGGCTCCAGAATTTATAACTTGGAATTACTTTTCAGAATGGGTGGCACAGTCCCACCTTGTTTTATGCTTCCCCTACCCGAAATGAAACCTGATTGTTTAGGGGAAGGAGTAACAAATAGTGTACGTCTGGGTAAATTTGTAGTATCCAGAAGTATTTGTTGTCTTTTAGCAGATAATGAGTGTATGGACAATGCTAATGGAGACCCATGTGGTTGATTAGAAGCATGAGCAACATTAGAAGTATGTCTTTTTTCCTGAGTAGAATTTTCTTTCAACCCATGTTCAGTTGGAGGCAGATTTCCGTATTCAAACTGTTTGAGCAAATCTAATTGAAAAGCTTTACTAGTCTGATTCAGTGAGGTACTAGTAGGAACAGCAAGGAACTCAGAATTCAACACGCTTGATCCAAATACAACTTCAGAAATCTCCTTGTTTCCCTGAAATTGAAACAACTAATCAAGAGTGCAAATCAATGCCTTGGCTCCTCCTGAAGAAAGTGGCAATAATAGCTGAACAATCAAAAAGTATATAAATTTCATTCAACTTTTGCTACTATGGGTGTCTATGGAGGAAAAATATGAAATTGTATCAGTGAAAACTACTGCAATAACCCTTCATGAGTTGACAATAGCAGTAGTTGCTGTGAAAACTGAATGTATATTGAAAAACTGCTCATCTTGAATTATACAAGAATTTTAGGTTTATATACAACTAACTAGGGGTTAAATTAGGAAACTAAATCTTCCTTAATTCTAGGGATACAAATACTTAATTCTAGAGATACAAATATAAATATACAGATTACAGGATTACAACCAGCTGTAAATAAGTGTTTTCCCACATCCCCCTCAAGCTGGTGAATAGGTGTTTTCCATTCCCAGCTTGAAAATAATTTCTTGAAATGTTGCACTGCTGAGACCTTTAGTCAACACATCTGCAAGTTGACCTTTGGTTGATACATAAGGTGTACAAATCAACCCACTGTCTAATTTCTCCTTTATGAAATGCCGGTCTACTTCAATGTGTTTTGTTCTGTCATGTTGCACAGGATTGTTTGTAATGCTTATTGCAGACTTGTTATCACAGTAGAGTCTCATTGGTCCATCCCACTTGATCTTCAAGTCTTCTAGGATAATCTTTAACCATAGTAGTTCACAAATTCCTTGAGCCATTGCTCTGAACTCTGCTTCAGCACTTAATCTTGCCACCACATTCTGTTTTTTACTCTTCCAAGTCACAAGATTACTACCTAAGAAAGTGCAGTAGCCTAAGGTGGATTTTCTATCAGTTACTGAACCTGCATAATCAGCATCTGTATATGCTTTTAGAACTAACCCCGAATTTCTTTTGAATAAGATACCTCTCCCAAGATTGGCCTTCAACTAGTGCAATATACAATAAACAGCCTGTAGGTGCACTTCTTTAAGACTATGCATAAATTTACTTACCACACTCACAGCATATGCTATATTAGGTCTAGTATGTGAGAGATAAATGAGTCTTCCAACTAATCTTTGCTACATCTCT